GCAGGGGAGGGAGGAGAGAAACAGCCAATTCCATGTTCGGGGTACTGTCCTAACTACCTGACTGACTTAAATTCCTTAGTGTATTTCTGTTCATGTCAAAGCAAAAAGCCAGTTTTGAACAAAGATAATCAACTGATGTAGTAGTCATGTACAAATAGATAGACATCTTCTAAAAGGGATTTTTAAATGAACCATTTATTCAGTGTTGTAGTTTAGAAGTAAAACTTCATTTTTAAGTATATCAGACAATGGAATATTATTTGGGGCTAAATAGAAGTGAGCTGTCAAGCCATGAAAAGACATGGAAGAAGTGTAAATGTGTGTTACTAAGTGAAAAATAGAATTTGAGAATACTACATGTATTTGATTCTAATCTTTTGACAATCTGGAAAGGCAAAACTATTTAGACAGTAAAAAGATTAATGGTTGTAGCACAGAGGATTTTTAGGGCAATTAAACTATTATGTATAATACTGTGATGGTAAATATATATCATTTTACATTCTTCAAATCCATAGGAATGTACACCACTAAGAGAGAACCTGTGAACTATGGATGCTTGGGGATAATGATGTATCCATGTATGTTCATCACTTGTAATGGATATACTACTCTGGTAGGGAATATTGATCATGGGGAAGGCCACACATATGTAGGGGCAGAGGGAATCTGGGAACTATCTTTACCTTGTATACAATTTTGCTGTGAGCCTAAAACTGCTGCAGAAAATAGTGTATTTTAACTCAAAGCAGTCTACTTCAGTTGATTATTCCCACTGTATGCATGTTTAGTTTGTTAGCTTTTTGTCTCTGTGTTCTCAGGAAAAAGTATCACCTATTTTCTTCCCTTCTCTTAAAATCCAAAAATGTTTTTCTTTTCAATAAACATTATAATGACTAATGTCTTGTGTTTACAGTGTGCTGTCCACAGTTCTAAGCAAATTTAAGCTGCTCATCAAATTCTCAAAACAGTTCCATGAAGTAGCCAATATTATTGTGAAGAAATAGACACACAGAAATATTTGTTTAAGAAATTGGCTAAGATTGTACAGACTGTGTAACTCTAGTCCTTGTTCTTTTAATTCTCTTGCTAGGCCTATTAGTAAATTGTCATGATTGAATATATTTTCTTGTAATGTCAAACACCTCCTTAGGTCTTTGCCTTATCTCTATAATTATGATCCTGGTGGAAAGTGACTTATTTCAACCCAAAAGTGTGAAATTTTGGTATCCTAAATGGTACTCAAATGTGAGTTTTAAAATAAGATCTTTTGTTACAAATATTCTGTAAGTTAACACCTTTCTGTATGAATGGTGAGTTCATGCCACGTTTATGAGGAAGAATTGGTGAAAAGGATAAATATTCTCCTAGCTTCCAGATTCTTTTTCTTTTTTAATTTATGTGCTTGTGGCAGGGGTATGGTGTGGAGGGAGAGTAGTAATGGTAGTGGTGGTGATAGTGATGGGAGAGGAAAAAAGATGGCTGTATTTCCTCTCTGCTGTGTGCTACAGGACAGTTCCCCACAGAAAACTCTTTTATTTATTTCGTATTTATTAAGCACGTTATCTTTGCAAGTTTTGATTTATTTAGGGAGTGATACAGTTATTATGAATTGGTTCTTAAGGAATTTACTTTCTAAGTACAAGAAAAAATATATATGAACAAATCACCTTAAGAATAGTAAGTTATATAGGAGTGGCCACTTATTTTGAGTCAAAGGAAGATGTCAGGGCTTACAGATTGCCATGATCTTGATGTAGTTTCTGGTGCTACTGAGCCCGACCAAGGTGTTATTTTTTAAAAAAGATTCTTCCAGAGAAACTTGTACACATGGTAGCATTTCACTATATTAATATGTAGCTTGCTCTTTCCCTTTGTTATTTTTAGTTTTAATGTATTCATAGTTTAAAAAGTCATGGTTTTACTTATTCCATCTACCTACCTTTTTACCTATTGAGCAATCTATCCCAAACCTATTTCCCTCCTGCCTCTGGTAACACCAGTTTTACTCTATAATTCTATAAAAACATTCTTTAGCATCCGCATGTGAGTAAGAATATATACCATTTGTCTTTCTGTCCCTGGCTTGTTTCTCTTGACGTGATGTCCTCCAGTTCCATCCACGTGCCACAAATGACAGGATTTCACCCTTTTATGGCTGAATAATATTCCACATGTGTATAAGTGTTCTTCTCTTTTTACTTTCCTCTTGCCACTGGAATTTGCAGGCACATGGTTAGACAGTCAAGTCAGTTTTTACTATTCGTTTTCTTCAGTCTATAGTTTGGAGTCTCTTGCCAGTTGATCCAAAACAGACATGACAAAAAGAGCACAGGCATTGAGGCCTCTTTACTGGATTGTGAGCTTCTTTGGTGAAAACTTTGAAGTACAACTCCAGAGCTCCCCTTTGATTTGTAGATTGGAGTTTTATGAAGCTTGGAAGGATATGGTAGATTATTGGAGCAGGAGAGAGGGTGAAACTTTGTTTCAGATGACAGCCTGTCCTGATCATACCACAGAACCAGTGTACACATCTAGGTCTCCTTCCTCCAGTCCACAAGGGATGTCCTTTATACCATTTTGGGGCCAACCAGCTTGAGGCTTAAAAAGCAAACAGTGAACCCTCATCAGTAGATAAGTTCATTTGGGATAATTATGGAGTTTAAAACATTGCATTTGATTTATTTTTGGATTTACACTTAAAGTTGTTTTTTCATATTTTTAAGGCGTCATTACTGTTTTCCTGTTAAATGATGTGTGTGTGTGTGTGTGTGTCTGCCTGCCTGTCTGACCTGTTAGGAAGCATTATAAAATTGTTAATTTTATAGCCAAAGTTCAAATGTCCTGACTTGTGTTCATTTCATTAAAAATCAGTATTAAAATGATCCACAAATTAAAAAAAAAAAAAGTCAACAGTTCTAAAAGTAAAAGGTCTGGTTCTAAGCCCCCTACTTTTTCCCTATACAACCATGAAGCTGTTCCCCTTTTCCTCATTTTGTGTTTTCAACGAAACTGCTTTCATTTCCTAGCTGATTTTTTTGGTATTTACCTAAGTGCTACAGGTGATTCTATTAACTATATGCTGCTATAGAGTTCTATCCTAATTTGATTTAGATAAGTACTTGCTGTTTACAGTTGAGCCAGGTAGTAGAACCTATAATCATTTTTCCTTTTCTACACTTTTTTTTTTTTTACTTTTCCTGGAACTAATATTTTACTTGTTTTATTGTTTGTTTTCTATTTAATTAAAACATGTAATAAAGAATATCATCCAGTATATATTCTAGACTTTGAAAGATCTCTCAGTAGTGCTGTCATTTGCATCTTTTTAAAGCAGCAAGGCTCTTACAGAGCTTCTGGTAGCTCCCATCTAGACTGGTTGCCCTGCATTCCTTGTTTACAGCTGTCACTCTGGGATTTCTCTTTCTAGAGCCCCCTGGGCTTTCCCTTTCTTTCTCTCTCATCTCAGTACCATATTGCTGTTATTATTGTTTCATGTAGGTCTAGTTCCCCCATATCAGAATCTTTTTGACAGTTTCTGGCTTGCTTTTTACATAAAAAGTTGCCCTTTTTATATCTTCAGTATATGGTTTTCCAAATGTTCCTTATATAGTACCATTTTGAATTGTGTGAAATTGACATTCTTTTCAAGTAAAACAACTATCAATACCAGCAATTTCAAACAGTTCTTTGTAGTAGAAGATTTCTTGCTATTTGTTTCTTGGTATTTTATTTTTCTATTGTAAATGGAGACTCTTCTAATATCACATTTATAATTGTTGGTGTTGTTTCTACTGAGAGTCTGTTAATGTATTAATTCTATATCTAGGACTTAAATTTTACATTTAGAACTTCCTTATGTAGGCAATTCTTTGGAATTTTCCACTTCTATTAACTCGTTATCTGCAATTAATGCAGGTAAACTCATTATTTGTAACTCAATAATTTTACTTTGTAACTTTTCCATTTGCCATCTTCTTTATCCTTATACTATGTAATATTATATGAATATTTTTGTTTTGTTTCAGACCTATATAGGTGTGTTTTTAGGTTTCTTCACTAAATATTATATTAACTTTTAGGATTGTGTATTATGTATGTTTCCCATACTAAATATACACATACTTTATTATTGATTTAAAGATGCTTGATGGGTATATAATCAGATGTCTTTTAGTGGACTAATCATAAGACATTTTTCTTGATATGCATAGCAAACTAAAGAAATAGATTTTATTATATCAAACCAGTTTTGAATATCAGAGGTAAACTACTTAATCCAGCAGTGGTATATTTCTCCTTGGTATATTCCCAGAGACTTTTTAATTGTTTTCTTTAGAAGTTTTGCATTTTATTTCATAGGTAATGTTAACTTGCGCTATTTGTTAAATTTTTATACACTGTTCTCTATGTAAGAATAATTTGTAAGCTTTGCTTCTATGCTTTGAAACATGTTAGATAACTTTTGGAGTTATTTGTTCTTAAATATCTGGCAAAATTTAGAATATTATTGGCATCTTGAACTTTCTGAGTAGGTTAATTCTTTGACTTTCCTTCCTTGATAGGATGATAATTACTACGTACTGTTTCTGTGAAGTTTTTTTTTTTAATATTTATTTTTTAGTTGTAGTTGGCACAATACCTTTATTTTATTCATTTATTTCTATGTGGTGCTGAGGATCAAACCCAGGGCTTCGCATGTGCTAGGCGAGTGCTCTACTGAGCTACAACCCCAGCCCGGAGTCTTTTCTTTTGTACCTTTGTAGGATTCAATGGCATCTTACTTGGAATGTTGATAATGGCATCTTACAAAGAAACCAATATGATCTCATGTTTATACTTTTCTTAGGGCATTCTTCATCTTTAAATTGTTAAGTTTTTAAGGGTGTTGGAATGGGAGCCTGTTTATTACCTCAAATTTAGCCCATATAGGGACTATGTTGACTTAATTTCTCTCTCTCTCTCTCTCTTTGTTGTTGTTTTCCATGGATATTTTCCAGGCTTCCCAGCTGGCGTGTATGTTGTAAAGAGAGTTCTTCAGCTTCAGCTTCATCATATTACTCTCAAGATGACAACTGTGCGCTAGAAAATGAAGACATACAATTTCAGAAAAAGGTACTTTAAGTTGACATTATAATTTGTGTACTCAGCTTTCTAAGACTGTCTCCAAACATTTAGAATAAAAGTCACTTCAAAAATACTTTGCCACAATTTTTGGTGGAAATTTATATTTTTTCTTGCTTTAATATAGGGAAGTTGCTCAGGTTTTTGGATTAAGGTAGCTCAGAGATTTATAGATACTTGTTGCTTGTATTTGGAATTTCATGATCATTCTTGGTCCTATAGTAAGGAGAAAAAAGAGTGTATGTTCAGAGAACTAAAAACTAGTGCTATCTTTTTTTAAAAATTTTTTTTAGTTGTAGGTGGACAAAATATCTTTGTTTATTAGTTTATTTTTATGTGGTGCTGAGGGTTGAACCTAGTGCTTCCCACTTGTGAGGAAAGTGCTCTACCACTGAGCTACAGCCCCAGCCCTAGTGCTCTCTTTTTATTGCCTAAATACTTAAAGGGTTTCTAAAGGTACCCCAATCTTATAAATGAAAAACTGTCAGAAATGAGTATAACAAGGATAATTTGTAGTTGGCAACTGTAGTTTCTTTTCTGTAGATACGTACAGTGAATAGATAGAATCCAAAGAAACCAATATGATCTCACGTTTCACCATTTTATATGATAAAAGATAAATATTGACTATTTGCTTTTGCCTCCAACTTCAGCGTATTTTAAATTTATATTGTTTACAGAATATTCGTGTTTGTGTATCATTCTCCCCAAAGGAACTACAGTTTACTGTTTCTCATGAACATGTTCAGATTTTTTTTCTGTTTGTATAGATATACCTTTATATATGCATACAACTAATATTTTATTTCCATTAAGTGTCACATAAATATTCTTCAAATTGACTAGCATCCTCCTTCACATGTCACCTTTTCACGTTGACTTGTTCTTCTAAATGACTGCATTTTCATTCCATCACACAGATAAACCATACTCTATTAATCATTTCCTTACTAATGGGCTTCTGCAGTGTTTCTCAGCTGTATGTGTGCACGCAATATGCACAGTGCTTGTGTGTGTTAACACACAGATTTATAATTACGTTTACATGACTAGAGTTTTTTTTTTTTTTTTGGCTTGATAGTTGAAACAGACTAAGTTTTTAAGTTATGTGAAATATATTTCTGGATGGAATATTTAAAATTTTGAAGACTTGCTAAATACTTCTCAAAAGAAACTATAATTTTATCCTTTTCCCCACAGTCTTATAAGACTTAAGTCTAGTCTCTGATGGGATATTTGGAGACAAAATATAAAAATGAATTTAATCAAAGCACTGAGCTGGGCATGGTGTTGCATGCCTATAATCCCAGTGGCCGAGGAAGCTGAGGCAGGAGGATCGTGAGTTCAAAGCCAGCCTCAGAAAAGCAAGGTGCTAAGGAGTTCAGTGAGAACCCTGTCTCTAAATAAAATACATAATAGGGCTTAAGATGTGGCTCAATGGCGAGTGCCCCTGAATTTAATCCCTGGTACCAAAGGAAAGAAAAAAAAAAGTATATCTATATACACTGAAAAGGTACTGAGGAGGGAAACTACTCTTTCAGCAAACATTTAGATATTTGTGCCAGATTGACTCAGGTATTTATACTCTAGAAGGTATATTTAAAGACACAAAGGTATTAGAAGTTCTAACTTGAATGTGAGTAAAAAGACAAACTATGGGTGCCTTCATTTGTCGGATATTTATCACAGTTTACTGTGTTTTACCACTGGGTGGTAGGTGTAAAGTGCTTATTAAGCAATCAAATGAGGTTTTTTGTGTATTGTACATTTTAAGTGTATTGATGAGAAAGGAGATATAGGAAAGTACACAGTAAGTATGCAAACAAATAAAAGTAAGTAGAGTCAAATGTATAAAGGTCAGTTTTTTGGTTTTAGCATATAGAAAGCAGTGGTCTTTATTAAGTGTTATATGAAGCAATTTTATCAGTCTTTTTTTCTTTGTTGTACTATAGGATGAAAGAGAGGGACCTACTAATGCAGAATTATTGGGAAAATTGGGTTCAAATTTGCCCATTCCTCCAGAAGAAAATAAATTAAAAGATGACTGTATTGTGGATGTACAAGTAAGCTATGTTGCTTTGATTTTTAATAATTTGCCTTTTCAACTACTTCAGAAGATAGCATACCACTGTTCACCATATTTGTATTGTTATTTTTTAATTTTGAAGTACCATGTAATGGAACTTAATGTTAGTTATCTGCTAATAGTACTGCTTTTGATAAAATAAAGTTTACAGATTTAATAAATATGACTAGTCTCTTTGAAGTAAAAGTTCGAATGTAATTCCTTATTTCTTAGGTTCTATGTTGGTTCATTATAATGTCTACAATGTCTCTTCAGATTTTCATATAGAAGATTTTATTTCTAAACTGCTTTATTTACAACAAAAGAAAGTAATTGTGTGTAGAACAAGAGTATTTTGACACCCATATTTCCATTTTATGTGGAATATGAACTAGCATAGTATTCTAGAATGTATTTTTCTTTTTATCTCATTGGGTATTTCATTCCATCAAACTTTATGAAAGATTAAAAAACTGGAATGAGCACACTGTAGGCCTATCAGAATTTTGAGGCAACTGGAAATCATTTAATATCAGTAATGGTTGTAGGAACAGAGGCAGAGAGACGAAGGAAAAACTGTCTCTTAATTTAAAAAAATATATTTTCAGCTCAGAATTAGGAAAAATTCCTTTTTGTTAATATAGCCAGTACTCTTTAAATTTACCAGGTTATATAAAGGAGATAAAGTGAGTTTCACTTTATTTAATTTTGGAAGACATTTGCCAAAGTTTTGTGAAAAGGAGTAGGAAAGTGTTACCTGTAACCCTTCCAGTTATATGACTGGCTTCAACAGTCTTGCCATTATTTGTTTTCTGGTGTGCTCTTGCTCAGATACTTACCAATGTTTACATCTTCTGTACCTGTGCTATAATATAGTAGAATAGTTGTTACCCACATGTGGCTGTTGAGTGCTTGGAATGTGGCTAGTTCATACTGATTTACTGAAGCATAAAATACACATTGAATTTAGGTTTAAAACAAACATGAACTAGCTCATTTTTTAAAAATATTGATGCACGTTGATGTGATAATGCAGTGTTTGATATTAATGTAATAGTTCTTTTCTCAACAATAATTATGCAAATCATTTATATTCCTTTGTGAATTTTTCCTTGTAATTATTCAAATGATTATAGTTTATATTCTCCTGATTCTGTGCCTTGTGTTTTGTTTTTGCTCCTGTACTGACCTTCCTTTTCTTTAAGACCTATCTCTTTCAATCCTTAGTAGTTCATAGTTTCTTTTCCTTGAATTGAGTATGAATTTCTCATTTGTTGATCACTTATTGAGCATTTGAATGCAAACTGTATGCTAGATACTTTAATGCTAGATATTAGAATTGTCAGTAATTGTCAGTGAATATAGTCCTTACGCAGGCACAGTATAGTTCAGGAAGGGGGAAAATAAATAATGGCATTTGAGATCTTTTAGATACTGTGATAAAGACTCTACATGAAACAATGGTGGCATGGAGCAAGCTAATTCTTTTTAGGATTATGGTAAGGCAAGGGGTGCTATAGAAATTTTCAAATATGATCAGGTATATTTCGGATTATGTTTTTGAGAGGTGTGTGACCTAGGGCATTTAGGACTATGAAGGAACAGCAAGAATCATGTGTAGCTTTGTACAGCCATATTGTTGTTGTATTGACAGACACTAGCCCCTAAACTGCTTGGGGACAAGTACTTTTTGTTTTACTGTTTTGTATATTTAAATATATTTCTTAGTTGTTGCTAGCATTCATTAATTGTAGTAAGAGGAAATATTTGTAGGTCCTAATACACTTTGGCGTTTTTTTAGTGTGAGTGTGTGTGATGCTGGGGATCGAACCCAGGGCCTTGTGCATGCAAGGCAAGCACTCTACCAACTGAGCTATATCCCCAGCCTGTTATAGGCCCTAATACAAAATCGGAAGTAGGAAGGGAGAAAGAGATAAGCGCTTTATGCAAATTTATGAAAAATGGGTGTTGTTGTGCCTGTATTTTAATATAAAATATATTCCTTAGGGTTGTAATGTTAGAAGACAGGGTTTTTATACAAGTGCTTTAGTGGACATTCTTTTATGGTTGTTTTTTAGCTTTCTGTTTTTGTAAACTCTTGCTCAGCAAAAGAGATAATTTGTTAATCTCAACATTAAATGTAACTGGCTTTTTAAACAGCATACAGAGTCAGGAAAGTTAAATCCACCTGTGGTTGAGACACTCCCTGCAGTTGATTTGCATGAAGATACTTCCAGTGCAGTTGGGAACAGTGAAGATGCTGAAAATATTTCCAGCTCATCTACCTCAGAAATCACTCCAGTCTCAAAGCTTGAGTAAGTCATTATAAAGAAGAAGAAAAAAAAATCTCCTTAGTTAATTTGGAAAAATCATTTAATAGGATATGGCAACTTGATACTCCAGTTTGAAATTTCAACTATTTAGCAGAACTAATTTTTGATACCTGCATTTTGTGTTTGTTTTGAATGTAATTATCTTATAATGAATTTGTTTATTTGGCTGCTTAATACAGTGAAGTGGATTAGATCCCAGCCATGAAGCTCTGCCTAGTGTAGGCCAAGTGAGGTTCTACTTAGGAAACATAGTGCTTATTTGTATAAAATTCCCTATAATTATCCAAAACTCGTATCAGTTATTAGTTTCTATTTAAGAATCCCTGGCATTCCATTTATAGTTTTGTTGGTGTGTGAAGAGCTACCTTTTTGAAATTTAATATTAAATACCAGAATATTTAAGAATAAGTGATCTTTAATTTAGAACATCAGTTATGTATTCCTTCTGACTCTTTCCAGCAGTATTCCAAAAAACAAAACAATTCTCTTTATACCATATTAAACATTTTCTTTATTAAATCGGTTGATATTGAGGAATGTCTGATACCTAGTAAGAATACATATTTCAGCTAATATCATCATCATCATCATCATCATCAGTAGCCTCACTACTAGTTTTCATTGCAGGCACTTTTTAAATACCTGTCTTCTGGCTTGGCACGGTGATGCACACCTGTAATCCCAGCCGCTGAGGCAAGAGGATTGCAAGTTCAAAGCCAGTAACTTAGCAAGGCCCTAAGCAATTTAGCAAGGCCCTAAGCAACTCAGCAAGACTGTGTCACTAAATAAACTACAAAAATGGCTAGAGATGTGGCTCAGTGATTGAGTGCCCCTGGGTTTAATCCCTGGTATTTAAAAAAAAAAAAATCTGTCTTCCTCAGGAATGCAAGGGACAGGCCCAGGGAGTTGTACACAGAGATGTTACAATTATTGTTTAGGGATTTTCCCCAGTAAGGCACAAGGGAACAGAAAACGTATTGAGAAATAATGACATTATTTACATAAATTATAAAACAAAGAAATTTAAATTATTATTTCAGAAACAACTTTAGGCTAGATATTGTATTCCTGAACAGTACATCCTATTTTTCCAATATATTAGCCATGACTTCAGTGAAATAGGTGAGGCAAGGGAAATATTAGGGTGTATATTTTTAAAGGGAAATTCTAAAAATGCCTCAGAACTTCAGTGATATATCTTGAGATAACAGATGATTTTGATGGTATAGATAACAACTAATGTTAGTAGTATTAATATATTAACAGGAAATGTTAGTAGAATTAGTATATATAACAGGCAAATTTAACTTTAAAGAGGATACATTTAGAATAAATAATTAAAAAAAATTTTTTTTGAGGTGGGTACTGGGGATTAAATTCAGGGGCACTTGGCCACTGAGCCACATCCCCAGCCCTATTTTGTATACTTAGAGACAGTTCCTTACCACCTCGCTTTTGCTGAGACTGGATTTGAACTCTCAGGATCTTCCTGACTCAGCCTCCCGAGCTCCTGGGATTATAGGCATGTGCCACTGCGCCCAGCTTAAAAATCTTATTTTTTATAACACCAAATACTAACCTATAATGTTTTGCTAGGAACATTTATTAGTAGTTGACATTACATGACTTAAGTGAATTCTTAAAAACACATTCTGGAGAATTGTAAAGTTATTTTTTCATTATGTTTTGGAGTTCACTGATAGGTTTTTTTCTTTTTAACTTAGCTTCATTAGGTCCACTAAGTTACTAAATTGTCTTTGTTGTTTCTTATAGTGAAATAGATAAAGCTGGTACTATCCCAATAGCCAAGGCAAGTGAAACTGAGCAATCTGAAACTGACTGTGAAGTTGGTGAGGCCCTGGATGCAGATGCAACAGTGGAACAGCCTTCCTTTGTCAGTCCACCTGAAAGGTACGTGGGAACAGTTGTTTGTCCTTGGAATGACCATAATGATGACAGTGATGTGTCTGAATGGACTTTGGTGCATATTTAATTTGACTTTATGATTGAGAGAGAGGTGATATCTTTGTTCTTTTCTTGGTTTGAATGCAATAATTATGGCATTTAGATTGTTTAAAACTTTGTTATCCAGCTATAATTTGTTTTATTTATTTATTTATTTATTGGTTTCAAATAGCCTTGTTGGCCAACATATAGAAAATGTGTCATCTTCACATGGCAAAGGAAAGATAACAAAATCAGAATTTGAATCAAAAGTTTCACCAAATGAACAAGGTAACAATGATCCAAAATCTCCATTGAGTGCTTCAGATCATTTAAAAAATGAGGTTGGTATACAACTTTCACTATCTCTTACTTTATTATAAAGTGCATTCTTTTATTAGCTACTCTTATAATTTGCTAACCATATTTGTCTCAAAATTAGGGCGATAAAGTAGTTAATGACAGTTGTGGAACTGACATGAACTGTGCTTCCTGAGAGCAAGTGGTTATTTCATGGTATTACTTCCAATATAATTGTGTTTTGTTTTGTTTTGCAGTTCTGGGGATTGAACTCAGGGGCATGCTACCATGGAGCCATGTCCCTCGCCCTTTTTTTTTTTTTTTTTAGCTAAGTTGCTCATGCTAGCCTCAAACTTGAAATCATCAACTCCCAGCTTCCTGAGTAGCTCCAATTATAGGCTTGTGCCACCATGCCTGGTTCCAGTACAGTATTTGTATGTACATTGTTCTATGTGTGGACTCTTTGGTTATATATAATTTAATGAGTTTTCTGCCACCATCAACTATTTGTTGCCACATATGGAAAGACTTTATTTAAGCAGTTTCTCAACTATGTAGAAGTTATGACTATTAAATTTAAGAATCTTCAGCCAGGTGTGCTGGCATACGCCTGTAATCCCAACAACTCGGGAGGCTGAGGCAAGAGGACTGTAAGATTGAGACTAGCAAGATCGAGACCAGCCTCAGCAACTTAGAAACTTGCCCTTAGCCCAATTTAGTAAGATCCTGTCTCAAAAATAAAAAGGGATTGGGAATGATAAACAAGTGCAGTTAAAGAACAATTCAAACTGTAGCACACCCCATCTGCATTCATTCCCTTTTAATTTCAGATGTTCTTTTTTCTCTTTCTCTTTTCATAAATTTTCAGTGAATTTGCATTTACACTTAACTATACTTCGGGCTGAAGAGTTTCAGTTTTAGGACCACTGATAAACACATTAAGCATAGTCTTAGGAATATAAAAACGATTTAATAACAAACAGCTATATACATATTATTCAGTTTAAAAAAATAAGTCACAGATGGTATACCCTTCCCTCCTCATCAGATAGAAGAATTATCTTCAATTTGTTGGATTTTTGAAATTTTATTTTAGAGCTTTCTAGTTAGCCATAAACAGTACATACTATTAATTTGGCATATTTTGAAATATGAATTCTTGCCTTAAGTAGCATTTTATTCAACATTATTCTTGAGATTCATTGCTTTCAGTACTTTTTTACAGCTATTCTACTACTATAATTTGTCCATTCTTCATTTAATGCATATTTGAATTGTTTCTAATCACTTCAGCATTCTGATAGATTTCCCATGATTCGATAGACAAGCCATGACTTCCCACACAATAACTCACTTTTTTCTCCATATGATTGGTATAATTTATGTATCTCTGGTTTTCATTTGCATTCAGTTGTTATTACTCTGATTGTATTTTTCTTGCTGAATTTATTGCTTTTATTGTGTTCCCTCATATTGATTTGTAAGCATTCTTAGGAGTTGGCAGTAATTCTTTGTTGGCTAAATGTGTTGCACATACTCCTCTCAGTCTTTGGCTTATTATTTTCATGTAATTTATGGTCTTAAGATGTTTTAAATTCTTAAATTTTTAATCTAGTCAAATGTGTCAGCTTTTTAAAAATGCATTCTGTATTTGTTAATCTTTTTACCACCCTGAGTCATAAAGATATTTTTTCTACTTTTAAATTGTGAAATAGTTTTTTAAATATTTAGATTTTTAAATCTGTTTCAATTTTTGAATAGAAAGTGCTTGTTATGAATTTTGTAGAAACTATATATAATCCATCTAAAATTAGTTTCCTTTAATAAATGTTTTTTAATTTAGATTTTAACATATATGCACTATAGGTATAAATTTATTAATTTCTACACTTTGTGTATGAGTAATGTTTGCTCAGGATATATTACAGTTTTTATAAAACAACCTATGCTTATATCACTAACATGTGAAGGAAAATATCTTGTGGTGTTGTGGTACATAGATAGAAATGATTACAGTTCTTTTAAGAGAAATTCAGCTTTTAAATAAATTGAAACTTTTCTATTAATGTTATTCATTACAAAGTTAGACTTTTGACAGAAACATTTGTTTTTACTTTTATTATTTATTAATCTAGTCTTTGAAGGTTGAAGTCTGTTTATTTTTTTGGTATTTCTTACAGAGTGCTGATATTACAAAACCAGGAGAAACTGACCCTACATCTGTAGCAAATCCCAAAGATCCAGAAGATATACCAACATTTGATGAATGGAAGAAGAAAGTTATGGAAGTAGAAAAAGAAAAAAGTAAGGAAGCACTGATATTCTTTTATTAATTTTTTTAAATTTAATTGAGTGGTTTACATAGCTTTTCTCTTTTTTAATTGGCAAAACAAAACTTATTTTAGAAAACATTTTAAAAGAGAAATTTACAAAATTGCTGCTACCATGCCATTTACAATTATAAACAGTTTTAATCTTAATTAAAAGCCATTCGTGTAAATTATTAGCTGAGGATCAATAAGGAAAACAGCAGTGATTTTTATCTCAGTTTTCAAGAGGAAAATTGAGGCATAGAAAGTTCAGAGTCAGAAAACTTTAAACCATGTATGCAAAGTATTACTTTTACTATTTTCCCCCTCGCTTTTGTAGATTGAATCTCAGTTAAAAATTGTTACACACAGAAAGATAACATTCATCCTTAGGTAGAATAATATATATATGCCAAAAGCTTTTATTGTAATGGACATACTTCATTTTCTGACTTTAGTATTTAGGTATAAATCAAGTAACACTTGCATTTTTGTAGTTACTTTGTTTACTGGTATTGTTTTAAAGCTATTGGGGTATTTTAAAGCTATTTTGAATTTCTTACAGATTTTTAAAATATTATTTTAAGCATTAAAACCTGTCCTTCTCTAGAAGACAGTCTGTTGCTTTTGAGATCATTGTATTGCTGGGGGTGTTTTCAATTATAATCATCATATATTTCTAATAAGGTTTGTCTGTAGGTCAGTCATTGCATCCATCTTCCAATGGAGGGCCACATGCCACCAAAAAAGTCCAGAAAAATCGAAATAATTATGCCTCAGTAGAATGTGGTGCCAAAATTTTGGCAGCTAATCCAGAAGCCAAGGTACTTAAGAATAAATTTTTTTTTTTATAAGTATAGAAGACTACTCACTTTATTAATAAAATATAGGCATTAGTATGCTGGGGACTATTTGGGAGACTGAAGCAGGAGGATTGTGAGTTCAAAGCCAGCCTCAGCAATTTAGTGAGGCACTTAGCAACTCAGCAAGACCCTAACTCTAAATAAAATATAAAAAAGGACTGGGGATGTGGCTCAGTGGTTAAGCACCCCTGAGTTCAATCCTGAGTATGAAAAAGAAATTTTAAAAGAAAATAGCTAATAGAAATTTATTTCCTTTACAGTAATAGACATTGAATTTTAAAATGGGTTGTTTCAGAGATAATTTAACTGTAGTCTTATCTAGTAGATTTTAGTCCCTTTTATGTTTTTCCTTCCCAAGTGTATGTTTCAGTCTTACGTATATTGTAAGATCTAAAAATACAGAAACATTTAGAACACTTCAGAATTGAAATACTTTTTAAAAATTATTTTTCCATAAGTAATAGATTCCATTTCCTTGTTTTCAAATAGAGTACATCTGCTATTCTCATAGAAAACATGGACCTTTATATGTTGAATCCTTGCAGCACTAAAATTTGGTAAGGAATACAAAATTTTTAAAAGTACATTCTATATATGTTAATCTTTTATATCAAAGTTTAGATTGACTTATAATCATTTAATAAGTATTTATGATTAATGTTGGTACCATGCAAAATTGAGGACAAAATGCCTTTCCTTTTAAGGAGGTAAAAGAAAACCAGTGACAGATTCTGTTAAACAGTTACGAAATGATATAAAATGTATTGCTGAAAGGGTATTAGAAGATGTATAACTGCAAGGGAGCTTCTTAGAAAAGGAAGGATTCATAGGAAATGGCAGGTGAAGGAGTCACAGTGCTTTAAAAGTAGCATATTTTTTTCTTAGTATTCTGTGTCTATGTAGTCACAATCTTCAGAGTTTGAGAAGTGTCTCCTTAAGTTAAATATATACACACACACAATTAATTAGTTCATTCATTCTAGTAGATCAGAATTATGGTGGCGATTTTCCTCAAGTAGGAAAATGAGCCTTACTCAGAAAGTCAAGGGTTGTTTTTGTTTCACATGGAAAATAAAGATAAAAAAGCTAGAAAAAAACAAGGTGGGGGGCAGCTCTCATTAAAATAGAAGGAAGATCAGTAGAGGAAGGGGACAGGGGAAGAGGAGAGAAAGCTGGGAGGTACTAGAGAACAAAATTGACCAAATTTTATATATATATTGTGTGTGCGAATATGTAACAGTGACTCCCACTATTATATAAAATTATAATACATCAGTAGTCTTTTTTATGGTTTGAGTGATATTTAACTGGGCCTCACTTATTGGATATTTGTGTTGTTTATGATCTTTTTGCAAGTATTAGTAAGCTTGTGCATGCACTATCTTAATTGTTTGAAAATTTGGGAAGATTTTTAAACTGATTTAAAAGAAATAAGACTTTATTTTCTTTCCTTTTGTGCTATTTTTGGTAAGTTATATTTTTGTATAAATTTGTTTTCTATTTTCAAAGTTTTGAAATAAAGTTGTTTTCAGAATTCTCTTATTATTTAAAATCTCTTCTGCATTAGAGATTTTTTGTGTTTAAAAAATTCCTAATTTTTTTTAATGCCACCTCCTTTAATCTCCACAGAAATGTATCTGTTTTGGCTTTATCAATTCACTTCATTATATCTTTGTTCTCTCTTTCATGAATTTCTGCATAAAACTTTCATTTCTCTACATTGTTTAAGTTTAGTCTGTTGAACTTCAATTTTTAAAAAAATTTCTAATGTACATATTTAAGGTTATAAATTTTCTTAATTTTATCCTAAATTTTGATTCATGGTGTTTTATGAAGCTACTTGTTAATATTCAGCTCTATAACTTTAATGTAATCTTTTAAAACTGAGTCGTAAATAGTTAAGTATAATTGAAATTGTTTAACTTATTGATTTTATACAAAGTTCTACTAATTTCATACTGTATTCTGTGTTTCTAAGAAAACATGAGAGATGAGGCAGAAAGATATTGAAAGGCATTTTAAAATAAATTTTAATGCAGAGTAATTAGTTTTATATTAGTATTTTACATACTTTGAAGCGATTTATCAGTTACATACAAATTTTAGAATTCTTATGTGTTCCAAGTGAATCAGCATTGTATACTTGGTGATGTGTCTATCTGAAAGCTTATTTTATCTGATATTAATGTAAGTTATGTCTTCTTAGAGATGAGGAACATTGTATGTTAAAAAAAAAATAAGGAGTAAAGGGCAATTAGCTTTTTGTTTTCTTCTCAGTACTCATAGATTTATTTTATCCAAAGTAAATAATAAAAGTCTGAGTCTGATTTCCTTTAGTTCTTCCCTTCATCATGTGATTGGTGCTGTAGAAAATGTTCAGGTTTTGGAACCAAAATATATAGTTTGTTAAAGCAAATTAGAATACTAAGTGTCACGAGCATTTCTCTTCCCCAAGTACCATGCTACATACAATTGTATTCTATGCACATAGAGTTATGCTTGTACTTTTTTCCTAGTAGCAATACTTATGGCATCTTTCCGTGTCAAACAATCAATCTCTAGCATCATTCAGTGCTGGGAATTGAACCTAGGGCCTTGCGTATTCTAAGCACATGCTCTGAGACTAAGTTATACTAACTTTATTTTTTAAAAAAACAGCATTATTGAGGTTTAGTTGACATACAATAAAGTGCAGCATGTCAAATTGTATAGTTTTATACATTTATACATCTGTGAAAATATCACCACAGTAAAGATAATGAACATACTGGGCTGGGGTTATGGCTCAGTGGTAGAGTACTCGCCTCGCGCATACAAGGCCCTGGGTTCAATCCTCAGCACCACAACAATAAATGGATAAAATAAAGTTATTGTGTACAACTACAAAAAATAAAAATTAAAAAAAAGATAATGAACATATTCATTACTCCCAAAAGTTTTCTTGCACTTTTTAATAATTTCTCCCTCTCAAACCATCTTTCCCTATAACAGTTATAGGCCAGGCTTCTGTTGTGTGTAATTTATAGCTGGTCTTATTGGATACTGGCTATTTTTTTGTCTGGGTGGACCATCATTTATGTTAATTTATGTTATCAGTGAAGCCATCCTGTGATATTGTGGTGCTGTGGGAAATTCAGGTTTGGGAGTCAAATAGATTAACTGACACCCCCACCCCCCATCACCATTGCTTTTATACACTGCATTTTGATAAAGCAAAATGTAAATATAAGGGCAGACATCCTTCTTAACCTATTAGGTTTCATCTTCCCACATCTGGAACACATAAAAACTTAAGTTGAGCAACAAATATGCCACCTATGATAACTTAGGTAAATAATTAGAGCACTTGGAAATATATGTATTGTACTACATATGTATACAAGAAAATATATAAAAGAGTATGTAAGCTTTAGGTTATGATTTCCAACCTATTTTAAAGTACCTGTGTCAATTTCATTGACATATTCACAGAATTGAAAACTTAATGCATTAAGATTTTAAGAGGGTATTGCTAAATCAAAGGCTTTGATACTTTTAAGACAATATATGTCAAGTTATCCTCTAAACTAGTCAGTTTATACAATCACTGACAATTCTTAGTGAAGTCATTCTTTCTCTGGCAATGTGCTTTGTCATTAAAAAAATATCTTTTCTTAAAAAATATGATGGGACAAAGTCAATATCTTATTTTTATAGTTTTTTTTTTCCTCACTACTGATATTCTTTGTGAAAGAGGCATTCCCTTACAGATAACTTGAATTATAAATCCTCCTCCTCCATTAAGGTATAGTAATTTTTAATGGATATCTAGTTTATACAAAATGTTATGCCATGTTTAATATGAACTAATATTTTAACCATTTAAATAATTGTCTTGTTCTTTTTGAAGGTTTGTTATTGAACTTTGTGAGCCAATTCAAGTAAAACAGCTTGATATCGCAAATTATGAATTATTTTCTTCTACTCCTAAAGACTTTTTGGTTTCTATCAGCGACAGGTAAGTTCTAGAGCTGGTTTCTATAGGGTCTATGTTGGATCTTTGGAGTAAAAATTTTAAAATGGGTCACTTTTGACTTTAGTCATTTTGGTTTTAATGTCAGTTTGTAATAATAGTTGTAGACTTTTCTTAATCACTTTCCTTTTATTAGCTCATATATAGTACATCACAGCCAAATTATTCCCTTATAAAGTTAGGAAACAGAATTAGGGGAGTTTTGAGTAGCTTGCCCAGGCCGCATGACTTGTTGATTGGAAAACCAAGATGCAAACCTAGGATTATGTGACTTTTTAAAGTCTTTACTTTTAATCATTATGCTCCATTGCTTTCAAGCATTTCTTTAAAAGTTTTTAGAAAGTGTGTTTCATTTCATATCATGAGGTATATTTTTTGTGAAGAATATTTTTTATATGTGGGGTTGGGGGTGAATACTGGGGATTGAACCCAGCTCCTTGTACGTTCTAGGCCAATGCCTCATTGTGTTTCCCAGGCTGGCCTTGGACTTTTTGGTCCTCTTGCCTCAACTTCCCAGGTAGCTGAGATTACAGGCATGTTACATTGTACCCAGCTAAAACCTTTTTTATACTTGTATGATTGAAAGAAGGAGCATAATATAAAGAATTTGGAAAAGAATGGCATTCCTTCATAAGCAGAGATAACCATTGTTAGCATTTTTTACATTCTTTTCAGTCTTTCCTATGCATTTATTTATTCTACTAGAAAATATATTTACTTATTACTTCTTATATCCTGAGAATACCTTTTCTTTTAAACATACCATTTTTAATGAATACTAGTATTTCCCCCTCAGTGGAGGTAGTATTCCATAAATACATTTGAGTGCCCATGATATGTCAGGTAAGATGCTATCATTTATTCTTCTGTCATTGATCATTAAAGATTTTCCATGCCATTTCTTCTCTTACCTTACAGTCAGCATTGCGTGTATACAGTTTTTGAAATCAGTCCTCAAAACTTTTTGAGAATTCCATCTGTTTTTCTGTTCTTAACCTTGCTCACATCACTTCCTTTTCTCTAAGCTGCAGTTTTATTATATGTCAGATGGATATATCTAGCTCTTACAAAGTATGTTCTTTCTAAAGGTGAGAAAAGAGAAATCATTATTTTGAGGGGGGTAGAGCACTTGCTTCGCACACATGAGCTTCCATCCTCAGCACCACATAAAAAATAAATAAAGGTATTGTGTCCATCTACACAATAAAAAATAAAAATAAATAAAAACTAAAAATGTATTTTTATTTTATGTTAGATTTCCTTTAAAAGGTTAAGCTATGTGGAGCTGGGGCTGTAGCTCAGTGGCAGAGCATTTGCAGAGCATGTGTGAAGCACTGGGTTTGATTCTCAGCACCATACAAAAATAAGCAAATAAAATAAAGACATTCTATCTATCTACAACTACAAAAAATTTTTTTTTAAAAAAAGGTTCAGCTATGTATGATATTAAAAGATTTTTTTTCCTTCCCGATTTGCTTTCTGTCATCAGTATTTCATCACACAATTGTCAGTATGTAAAGAGAATGCTTGTGCAGGAATGCTGTTCTTTTCCCAATTCTTTATATTATGTTACTTCTTTTAATCACCAGTATAAAAAAATGTTTCAGCTGGGTGCAATGTAACATGCCTGTAATCCCAGCTACTTGGGAAGTTGAGGCAACCTCCGCCTTCCAAGACAAACTCTTGGCTCCTTTCTGTTTTAAAACCTCAACAGTCCTTCTGAACCCTAAGAAGCAGTGATTGTCCTGCTTTTGTCTTTTCCTTGTCTTTCTTTCTATTTGTTAGTAGGATTATTTATTTATTTATTATTAAACTCTATTAAGTTTGTATATATCACCTAGAGAGGAAGAAAATGAACAGGACATTTATTTTTGTGTTTTCTAGATATCCCACAAATAAATGGATTAAGCTGGGTACTTTCCATGGTAGAGATGAGCGGAATGTCCAGAGTTTCCCTTTAGATGAACAGATGTATGCAAAATATGTGAAGGTAATGTTTATGTATATAAGGCCGTGTTCTATAATGAAAATATTAGTCATATTTTATTCACTTTACCCATTTAGAAATCAGAAAACTCTTAAGAGGACATATACTGCAGCATACCCTTTAATAAAATAGTTTTTACTTGGATGTTTTGTTTTATGAGTCAAATGCTGCTACTTTCCTTTTGTATTACTGGAAACCCAGACCAACTTTTTATTTGTGATTCTGAAAAAAAAATTCTAAATTGTAGCTCTTAATTTCTTTTGACTTTATATAAAAATGTCATCTTCAGAGTATTCTATTTAGAAGCTCACATCGATTTCTGTCACTAAAGTCTTTTTTTTTGGTACTATAGATTGAGCTCAGGGGCACTTAACCACTGAGCCACCTTTCCAGCCCTAATATGTATTTTATTTAGAGACAGGGTCTCACTGAGTTGCTTAGCACCTCCCTTTTGCTGAGGTTGGTTTTGAACTCTCAATCCTACTGCCTCAAGCCTCCGGGATTACAAGCATGTGCCACCATGCCTGGCAATTATTGCTGTCACTAAAGTCTTTAAAGCAAATCTTAAATCTTTTTGAAATATGATTCTTAGATTGTTTCGATTTTAATAACCAATTATTTGACACTATTTTGGCTTTTGCATTTTTTGTGTATTCATGTGAAACAGTCTGTGTGCAGACACCAGTTTCAAATAAAGATAACTTGATATTCAGTGTTCCCTCTGCTTCCTTCACCAAATGATCAAGTAGAATTATCACTCTTAAACTGGATTTGGATGAAATAGGGGATATTTCTACTCCTTTCCTTCCTGCCCCGCTTTCCTTTAAAAATGGCACACTTTAAAATACCATTGTGTTAATAATGTGATCTTTAAATGGCAGAAGTTCTAATTCCTGTCCTTTCTTCTTTAAATTTGAGAACTTATAGTTAATTTTGTCTTCTGGGATTTTACTGTCTCTTTTTAAAGCATGTATTAAGTTGAATTCTATAAAATGGGTAAACTTGTAGTATTCCTAGTTTTAGTATAAAAGTTGCTAAATTCTATTTTGAAAATAATTGATATTTCCAGTTAATAATCAAGAGTTCAGAAAAATGAACACCTTCAGTTCCTTTTTAAAATGAGTACTGAAATGATTATTTAAAGATCTTATATAACACGCTTTCTATGCTGTGAAAAATCATTTGCCAGGTGATAGAATTATATTTAATTTTGGAAGTAAAAATGTTACCAAGTTGTCTGAGGATCATTCTGTATAATATCTACTTATTAATAATAGAAGAATTTATTGGCAGCATTAAAAGTTGTACGATAAATCCCTGCCTTATCCTTTGTATGGTAAGAGACTATAGAGCATTTTGATGATTCATTTTATTAAAAAAAAGTTGATAGAAAGGTTCAGGCAATCAGAATTGACTCTGGTTTTCATTATGTAGTTATATATGTTTATCTAATTTTCCCCTTATCCTAAAAGAGTTAAATCCAAATTTACAAATTATTTTTAATAACTTATATTTTAAAAGTGAATTGATACATATCTTCTGCTTCTGTAAGTTACACTTGAAATAACAGACTATCTAATGCTTTTGCCCTGAAACATATTGCATACACTATCAGACAAGTGTAAATAATATTTTATAATATACTAAAAAATCTGTGTATTGATATGCAAATTTATCCATAGCTATATACATGATACATAGCTATAATATTTAAAGTGATATAAGATGATATTTGAAGTAATATAAGATTTTTAGAGTATTAATTGATTTCAGAATGCTTTTAACAAAATAGCAGCAATGGATTTAGGTTATTCAACTTATTAAGCTAAAGTTAATTTTATTGCTACATAGATTATACTTTCTAGTTGTAATGGTAAAATTTTAAATCATTGCTTTGATTTCTGCAAAGAATTAAGAGTACTACAATGTTATCCATCACGGTACATTGCTTTCTGTACTTTAATTATACAGTATGATTTACAAATACTTGCAGTTGCTTATAGCATGTTATCTAGACTTTGGAACTGATTTCTTTTTCTTTTCCTTTCTCTTGCTTCAGATGTTCATCAAGTACATAAAGGTTAGCAACCTTCTCTTTTGCGATATTGAATAACAGGGCATTACATGTTAATACATTATTAAAAAATACTTTGAAAGTATTGATTTTGGGGAAATGAGGACTTTATTTTTAGAAATTTTATAATGAAAAAACTGAGGATATTGTTACTCTTACAAGCACTTTGCTGGCTTCCCATTTCATGTGCTTTTATTTTTTAGGTTGAATTGGTATCACATTTTGGGTCAGAGCACTTTTGTCCATTAAGCCTTATAAGGTAAGGCAGAACAAAATGCATTTACTTAGTGGGTTTTTTTGTTGTTTTTTTTTTTTGTTTGTTTGTTTTTGTTGTTGTTGTTTTAATAATACATAAAAATCTTAATATATTTAAAAGTGAAGAAATAATTTTCTCTCACGTGTAAGTTATCATAAAAATAGATGCAGTTAACCTTTATCTTGAATGTGTTTTGGAAAAATGTAAAAAATATTCTGTTAAAGAATAAACTTTATTTACATGTTTGATTTAACTTACTTGAAATTTTACCACAATGAAAAGCTTTGTCACTGTGTTTCTAAGTATATAAAATGTATCAGATTTATATTTTTTAAAAAATATTTATTTGTAGATGAACATACAGTATCTTTTTTTTTTTTTTTTTTTTTTAATGTGGTGCTGAGGATCGAACCCAGTGCCTCATACATGCTAGGCAAGCACTTGACCACTGAGCTACAGCCCCATCCCTTCAGATTTACCTTTTTTTTTCTTTTTAGAGAGAGAGAGATTTTTTTTTTTTTTTTTTTTAAAGAGAGAGGGAGAGAGAGAGAGAATTTTTTAATATTTATTTTTTAGTTTTCGGCGGACTCAACATCTTTGTTTGTATGTGATGCTGAGGATGGAACCCGGGCCGCACGCATGCCAGGCGAGCACGCTACCGCTTTAGCCACATCCCCAGCCCTCAGATTTACATTTTAATGGAAGTAGTTGATGACTGAAATGCAAGAAATAGCCAATATTTTGAAGTCCAGAAGTAAAACATTACTAGAGTTGCTATTTATCATAGATTTTGAAGAGATGAGTCTTAATAACTCTTGTTTTAATGAAAATTTTTAACGAAATTGTTATTAGGGTATTTGGCACTAGCATGGTGGAAGAATATGAAGAAATTGCTGATTCCCAGTATCAGTCAGAACGTCAAGAACTATTTGATGAGGACTATGGTAGGTGATTTTTAAATAGGTAACTATTAGGATTATCTTTTTACTTTTATAAAATCTAATAGTAATAGGTGATGTTACTTAAATCAATGACTGGTGTCACTAGTTTCTTTTATTGTTTTTATCCCTAGTAATTTTTTTCATAAACTTATCTTCTAATATGATTGCTTTATAAATCATGTTGTTTTCCAAGTTTCAGTCAGTTGTTACTGGAATTCCCTTGCAGCATATCAGTGCTATAAATTATGATTATATCATTATGCCAGGCCCAAAAGATGCTAAACACACCAGGTGATTGAAACAGTTCAGATGAGCATTAATTTCTTTGATTTGCCCTGAGCCTAGAAGAAGACACATAGCTTGAATAATCTAAATCTTGTCTTCTATCATTTTCCCATAAAAAAAATTAAGGTATTGGCTAAGGGTTAGTAAAGTATATTGAAAACGCAAATGAAGTCTTATAAAGAATGAAAATTTGGTAAGCATTACTACTGTTTTCCTTGGCTGACATTGTTAAATGGCTTCTGAATCTCATCTTTGTTTTGTAAATATGTTTTAGATATATAATCAGCATATAATGGGATGTTTTAAATGTCTGTTTAACAGGATATGAGTTTTTAAACATATTGTAACTAGTTCTTAGCATAATTACTTTGTTTTCTCCTTAACAGATTACCCATTGGATTATAATACTGTGGAAGATAAATCTTCAAAAAATCTTCTTGGTTCTGCTACAAGTGAGTATTTTTGGGTATTCATTCTATTAAAGTGTTTCTTATTATTTTTTTTTTCATTCTGACATAGATTTTTCTGGTATAGTTTAGGGTTATTCTATTCTGAATTTTGAACTTTTGAGTTGAAATCAAAGGTACTAGCTTTTGAAAAGTAGTTTTAAGGAAAATGAAATAGGAATGGGTGAAAAAAGGGGAGATTTTAAAATGCAAGCAAAATAAAGGTGTTTCTTCTACTCAAGCACTCATTTTGGGGAAGATTTTTACAGTGGAGAAAGGGCTATGAATTTACTGGGGGGGGGGAAGAATTATTAAAGTGGTGTAGCACATCAGTGAGGTTCTAGTGAATGAGGAGGACTTGTTTTTATGGGTATGGTTAGTTTCCTATTTAATCACAAAATAGAAAGTCTATTCCTATTCATATTAATAATGAGCTATGGTATAATGATAATTTTATACACACACACACACCAACAAGTGCGGTAATTATTCTTTGTAAATCAAAGAAATGACTAAAATACCTAGTCGTTTAGACTGTTTTCATTCCAAAGTGGTATGTGGATCTAGTGATAGGCCACCTAAGGAGATTACTGGAAAGGCAAATAATAATATTGTATTATTGTTAGGATGTGGGTAGGTATATTCTTTTTTTTTTTTTTTTTTTTATTGTTGGTTGTTCAAAACATTACATAGTTCTTGATATATCATCTTTCACACTTTGCTTCAAGTGAGTTATGAACTCCCATTTTTAGCCCATATACAGATTGCAGAATCACATCAATTACACATCCATTGATTTACATATTGCCATACTAGTGTCTGTTGTGTTCTGCTGCCTTTCCTATCCTCTACTATCCCCCCTCCTCCCTCCCCTCCCCTCCCCAACCTTCTTCTCTCTCTACCCCCCCTATTGACCTTCATTTCTCCCCCTTGTATTATTTTTCCCTTTCCCCTCATTCCCTCTTGTATGTTCTTTTGTATAACCCTGAGGGTCTCCTTCCATTTCCATGCAATTTCCCTTTTCTCTCCCTTTCCCTCCCACCTCTCATCTCTGTTTAATGTTAATCTTCTTCTCATGCTCTTCGTCCCTACTCTGTTCTTAGTTACTCTCCTTATATCAAAGGAGACATTTGGCATTTGCTTTTTAGGGATTGGCTAGCTTCACTTAGCATAATCTGCTCTAGTGCCATCCATTTCCCTGCAAATTCTATGATTTTGTCATTTTATTAGTTTTGATTATTGTTGAAGAATATAAAACTAACTGGAAGGAGTTTTCTATTGGATATTAATAACCAAATTTAATAAAAGTAAGTTTTAGTAAGATACAGGACTAGCTCCTTTTTACTCATTAGTGAACTGAATGGCTTGAATACTCATCTTGGTGTCAATACTGACTTTAAAGCTTTTTTGGATATTCAGTCACTAGTGCATATATGTGGGTAGACATTTTACACAGCTGTGTGTATCTAGTTAGAGTCCCTTTTCTTTCTTTTCATCTTCTTTCCTTTTCTTCCCATCTCTTCTCTTCTCCATAGAGGGTTGTGGACTTCATTAGAATTTGTTTAGGCATGGAGATAGCAGTGTTAAAAATACTTACAGGAGGTGAAGGCTTTCATGTAATATTTAACTTTATTTCAAATCTATCAGTATATTTTTACTTTATTTTTAGTATTCTGACTTTTTAGATCTTAGTAATTACTTAAATAAGTGTCTTGTTTATTGCTATATAGTGTTTTTAGGAGTGAAAAACTATATTATCTGTCTGGACATTCTTTTTTTTTTTGCATTCTTAAATTTGTTATATTTGTCATAATAGTCATTTTTCTGTCACTTGAGTAAATTACTGATGCTAAAGTAGTCACCTAAGTAATTATCATTTTTTAAATGAGTTACAAAATAGCTCCAATCTAAAAGATTTGTAGCTTCTGGTGGTTACCAGACAGGTGAGAGTACCTTAGAATTACTTAACCTCCCTAAGGTAGATGTGGGTCACATTCCAAAAATATGTTGATATTCTGGGTTTTAAATTTTCTTTTTTTCCTATGAGAGATTGAATCCTGTATGTTATTAACACCTAACTGTATGTCAGTAGAAGACATTGCCCTATTTGTAATTATTTCTCTGACCAATGTATTATTTTAATTATTAAACAGAATCTTACTGAGATTCTACTTTTTAGATCTTTCTCTTTACTAGTGTGTTTCTTGATTACCCCTTTTTTTTTTAATGGATCTCTGAAAAGTCAGTTCATTTACCTCCCAGTGTGCTATGGTTGAGCCCATTTGTGTAGTGAGACGGATGGGTGGAAGGTGGTTAGCTGAGCATAAGCATGAAAAATGGGATTTAAAATGATCTCTATCTCTTAAAGGTTCAGAGCAAGAGAGGCAGCAGGAATTTGAGAATTAAGACTATGTTTTCATGAAACTGTCACACCTAATCCAGCACTGCTGCCTTCTACACTTGTGTCTTTGTAGTATATTCTCTGAAGAACTTGAAACTGTTCTGAGAGACTTAACTACATACAGCCTCCTAGGTTATGTCACTTAAGAAGTAAATAATGAGCATGGACTTAGGCTAGTGGGCTTGTCTCTGGCACTAAGATGTCCAAGTTCAATATTGCTGTGTTAGTTTTAAATGGGACTGTTTTGAAACTAATTTATTTCTTCTTGTTTTTAACATGTACTTGATTTCTATACAAGATAGAATTCTATGATTTTAATCTTAATAGAAACTCCTTTTTTCTTTTCTTTTTTTTAAATTTTTTTAAATTTATACATGACAGTAGAACGTATTTTGACATATTACACATACATGGAATATAACTTCCCATTCTTGTGGTTGTACACAGTGTGGAGTTACACTGGTTGTATATTCATATATGAACATAGGAAAGTTATGTCCAATTCATTCTATTGTCCATCCTGTTCCCACCCCCTTCCTTTCATTTCCTTGTCTAATCCAGTGAACTTCTATTCCCTCCCCCCCATTGTATTAGCATCTTCCTATCAGAACATTCCACCTTTGGTTTTTTTCCAGATTGGCTTATTTCACTTAGCATAGTAGTCTCCAGTTCCATCTATTTACTGGCAAATGCCATAATTTCATTCTTCTTGATGGCTGAGTAATATTCAGTTGTGTAATATACCACATTTAGAAACTCCTTTTTCCTTCTGTTGTAAGTTTAGGAGCTTAAGTATCCCTGCATGGAGCTAGAAAGTGTTTCAGATTTAGATTTTGGAATATTTACATATGTATAATGAGATGTCTTGGAGATGGGATCCAAATTTAAACCCAAAATACATTCGTTTCGTGAAGGTATTTACATAGAGTATCTGTAGGGTGCCCATGTTTTGACTGAGACCCAGCACTTGAGGTCATGTGAAGTTTTCTGTTTGTGGTATCCTGTCAGCACTCAAAAATTTTGGATTATTTTGGATTTTGGGTTTCAGATTTTTGAATTAGGGATGCTTAATCTGTAGTTAGAACTTTTGATTCTGATGAGACATGGTTATAAAAAAGTATACATACTGCATATTTAGATAGTGTGGATATCATGTTTTTTATTTAACTGCTAAAAAATGGAGTAACTACTGTCTTAGAGCAAGCATTCTTGGCTTGTGTATATGCAATTCTGTCACCTTCTCTGTCTGATTCTTTTGTTTGCATTCTTGAACTAAAATATTTAAATCTTTTACGTCGATAAGAATTCTACATATTACTCTTCTTTCTTTGTGCTTTGTCATGTGGTTTGCCAGATGGCTTCTACTTTGATGAAAGTCTGCCTTTTCTATAGATATGTGGTCTGCATTTTGTTAAAATTGCCAATTCTACTAAAAATAGAAATTTCCAGGTATAAGATTAAGATAAAATGTAGTTTTTGCTTCAAGTCAAGGAATTTTTAAGTATTTTTTTTTATGAATGCATATATATGGGTTCCCCCCCTCCCCAGGAATTCACATATATTCTAGAACTACATATAGAGAATTCTAGAAGAAAAAGAAGAAATGGAACTAGGCTTTAGGGAAGATGAGTACAAATAATTACACATGGGGCTGGGGCTGGGGCTGGGGCTCAGTGGTAGAGCACTCGCCTAGCACAAGCAAGGCTCTAGGTTCGATCCTCAGCACCACATAAAAAAAGGTATTGTGTCCAACTACAACTAAAAAATAAATATTAAAAAAAACCCAAATAACTACACATATTAGATTTTTGTTGTTGTTGTTGGTTTGGCTTGTGCTGTAGCAAATAAACTCTTCAGCATCTTGGACAGGAATTTTGTTTTCTCTATCAAAAAGAGTCTTTGTATGCTGGAGACTGAGTAATAGTTAAGCTACAAACATTTCTAGGAGTATTTTATTCCTGTAGGAAAGAGATGGGATGAGTAAGTTGGGATGAATTAGTGAGTGGAGTTGACCGATCCAAGAGAAATTAGGGGAAGTTATCCAATTTAACAGTCTGAAGTTACTACTGTAATCTACTCTAAAGACTTTGATGACAAGCTGTTGTGCATTTGGCTCCAAGTTGATAATGATCAGAATAGAATATTCACAATGCTGCTTCTTTTCAAAAAAGACAAAACAAACCAACAAAAAGACTGTTAGGCAGTATTCTGTGAACACAGGTAAATTATTTCCTTAGGTTAAGTGGACTGAGAAAGTAGAAATTTGCCAAATTTTTGTTTTGTTTCTGATACCCTGAAATGATGGTGATAAATAATATTCTATAGGGTGGATAGTGTAAATATTTTTTATTATAGGGCGAGTATTAAAATTTATATTAAAAATAATACTCCAAAGCTAATTTCTTTATACAGATTAAAACCTGTGTTCTTTTATTAAATTTTTAAATAATACAAGCCCCAAAATTTGAAATCTTAGAGAAGCACAAGAGAGTGAGCACAGACTGATTTCAAAATTTGGTTTTATGAAACATTCAGCTTTGACAGAACTTCACGCCTTAGTATGAGTAGGGGATCATATCTAGTAGTACAGTATTGATCGGCATTAAAAGTGGGTTTATACCAAAAGCAGAAGTTCTGATAGGCTAGATGCTAACATACAATACGGGGGTGGGTTGGAGAAGAGAAGTTCATTGGATCAGACAAAGGGAAGGGAGGGAATGGGAAAGACAATAAAACGAATCAGAATGCTTATCCACAACATTGGGAAGTTATACTCCATGTATGTGTAATATGTCAAAATACACTCTACTGTCATGTAAATCTAAAAAGAAAAATAAAAAATATGGGGAAAAAAGTGGGTTTACAAGGGAGTAAGCTCCCACTCTTTACTATCTTGCTCTGTGAGGAGATGTGGAGTTTTCATTCCTATCATTATCTTACGCTAAGGCATCTCCTCAGCCCAAGTAAGGACTAGGGCTGCTTTTCTGTTTACCAGTTTGCCAGCTTGAAGGGCAAAGATATATAAAAATGCCATTAAGGGCTGGGGTTGTAGCTCATACAGGTGGAGCGCCTGCCTAGCATGTGTGAGGCACTGGTTCAATTCTCAGCACCACATACTATAAATAAACAAAATAAAGGTCCATCAACAACTAAAAAAAATATTTTTTAAAAAAATGCCATTTAAGCATTTAAAAATGGCAAATGTCAAGCTTTTGTGTTATACTAATAATTGGAAACAAGTATCACTACTTTGTTGACTGTAGAATCCCAGTTATGTTAAGATCAAAACTAATAAATAGTAATCATCTTTTATTAAAGTCTTTAAGATCTCTTCTACTTTTCTCTTATAGCATAAATGTATTTACAGAATCATCAGATCATGTGACAGTGAGGAGATTGCTCCCAGCCTTCTTTTATATTTATATATAATTTTCTTTTTTTTTAGTTGTAGATGGATACAGTACATTTATTTATTTATTTCTATGTGGTGCTGAGGATTGAACCCAGTGCCTCACGCATGCCAGTTGAGCACTATATCACTGAGCCACACCCAGCCTGCTCCCAGCCTTCTTAATGTGCTAGATTTCTTCCTTTATATCCTTTCCTACTTTTCACATCTTTGGCGTTTTTGTTGTTGCGGATATACTGGGGATTGAACCCAGGTGTGCTCTACTACTGAGCCACATCCCCAACCCTTTTTATTTTCTGTTTTGAGAACGAAGTCTTCTCAGTAGCTAGGATTACAGGAGAGTGACATCTCTGGTTTTCTTTGAAAGTGTTGAAAACCTTATGAATCTCATCTAGGAAAGAAGACTAAATAAGATGGAAATAACTACGAGGCTTGATAAATAGCCCCTGCCAAATCTTAGTATTTTAATAGGAGAGAAGTACCTGATACTGAAGAATTAACTTCTAAAAGAACTTCAAGGATTGGGGTAGAAGTTTATTTTCCTTGAAGTTAGGTCACATTACTGCAAGGAAGCCTCCTGTTTACAGTATCAGCTTGTTATGGAGTTCTGCCGTTTTGTGGTCTTCATATTTAAATATATTAAAATGGAAGTTTGTTCCACATATAGAATATTTATTGAAAATGTAATCGAATTGGGCTACTGTAGCAGTAACTTTATGTTACAGAGTTTTCTAAATGTCATTATCTTAATATCCCCCTGGAAAAAAACAGAATTACCAACTATGCAAATTGGTTCACCTGCTATACTCAGTTTTATGACTTTGATTTTAATTAATTTGCCCCATCCTAATTACAAAAAAAACTTGGTGTGCTTTAAATTATATATGAAACATTGTTATTTTGGCCAATGAATTTTAAAATCATGAAACAAATTTGAATTTTATAAAGTGTCAATTTGGAATTTAACCATATTATAAATAGCTACTGTATGCATAGTTAAAAATACTAAAACTTTTTCCACTTTGCTTTGGATAATAATCTCCCCATTTCATTTTTACCTATGATAGCCACCCATTCAGGAAAAGCTTTCTTTAAGTTTTTTGTTTGTTTGTTTGCTTTTGTTTAAAAGTATAGAACCCATTTAAAGAAAACAAATTTTGAAATATGAATTTGATCACATTTCCTCCCTGTCTCAATATAGACTGTATATTGGATCATACTTGAATTTTGTAATGTGCCAAAGAAGTGTTTTAAGTGTTTTGGTAAAAAGTTTGAGGTGGCTTTATAACAATTTAAGTTTAAAATTCTTCCTGAATATCAAAATTCAAATTTATGTGTATGCTTTTGGCTGAAATTTATTTGGGTCCTACATTGGACTTAAACAGTAAATAAAAAGGTAACTAGTCAAGAAAGAAAGAAAGCAAAAGACCATTATAATAGTTCTTTAATTATCTGATATTAATTTATATGGGAATACGTAGGTTTATTGGTATTTTTTTCTGATTGAATTTTGTTTTAGATGCCATTCTAAATATGGTGAATATTGCTGCTAATATTCTGGGAGCAAAAACTGAAGACATGACAGAAGGTACCTAATCATCTTATGGGTCTTTAAAATAGTTGGCACTTTATGGTTCCTTCTAGTTAGGAAAATCCAGGGATAAGCCAAGAAATCTCGAATTTTCCTATAGAAATATAGAAATGACCCTAAGGAACTTAAAAATCTTGTATATTGTTTATTTGAATGTCGCAATTCTTTTTTTACAAAAGAATCTCATCTGTACAGAATTCATCAATTGGTGGGGTTTTTTTGTTTGTTAATGTCTGAGCTGTGGTTTTATCCCATCTCTTCACTGAGATTTTGATGCCCTGTTAGCAGTTCAGGTTTGCTTTTCTTGAATATAACATATAGAAAGACATTTTTTTCCTTATGGAATAGTAAGTAAGAATATTATTAGCAAGAAGAAGCAATCATGCTTTCATGTTTTTTAAAAAATTGTTAGCTCCAAATACTAAAAATAGCCCATTTATTTCCTTTCATTGCCTTTAATAATTCTTTTAGATGTCAGAAGGCATATTAATCAAGATCATGTAAAATTTATAATAATCAGATTTGCTTTAATTACCAGAAGTTAAATGATGTGCTTTGCTTATAGTTGTGATCTTGTATGATCATTTCTTTCTAAAAGAGATTTTTTAAAAAGTCTGCAGTAGCAAACGTATTTGACTTCTTTTCCTTCTCCCCCAAGAAACTAAAGTTCTTTATTTGTTAAAGTAAAATATTTTCTTGGTACAGCTTTTAAAAATTGAACTCAACATGGGCATCTTTCTTAAAATAGGAAATAAAAGTATATCTGAGAATGCCACTGCCACAGCTGCACCTAAAATGCCTGACTCAGTTCCTGTTTCAGCTCCTGTTCCATCACCTGAGTAAGTTCTCTTGCAACATTAATAGAGTTCTGTTAAAATGGAGAGCTAAGTGAACTGGTACAGCAGCTTGTGATTTGTGTGTGAAGTGGGTCATAGAACAGATGTTCTGCAGCCACTTAGAACTTTGCATGTTACGTTCCTTCTTGTCTTAGTGTATGTGTGTACTAGGAATACACTTCATTCCAGACCATATGCTTTTTACTTGGATATATTATTCACAACTTGAGTCTTTATTGAGAAAATAGTACTTCGTTATTGTGAATAATTGTGCAAATGTAAACTTGAGGATAAATTTTGAAGGCCCGTTTTTATTAAAAACAATGATTATGTATATGTGGTATCCTTAGAAAGCTATAAATTACCTAGAGCAATGGTTCTTGAATTATGTATTTGTTGCACAAATTCAGTTATATAGGTCTTTCCCCAAGTTGTGGTGGAGCACTTTGGTCAGGGGTGTATATAGAGGTAACATAATATACTCAATTTTAATTTTTTATCAGATATGATAACATTTTTGATAATTATACTTATCTGTAATAGGTAGTGATATTGTATTGATTTGGATAATTTTGTGTGGTTATTGTAGGTTTAATTTATGTATATTTCTTTATACTCCCTATAAAACTTTGAAAGTCCTTTACTCTTTGGATCTCTACTTAAGAAAAGATTTGAACTTGAAATAGTTCAAGGTAGTAGGTAATGAGAACTGCACGGGGTGTGCTTTGAACTCCTAAGTACTACACTGATTCAGAAATAAGATTTTTGTGCTTTAAAGAGCATAGTGAGAAATTTACTTTCTCCTATGTCAATCCTGTAAACAATTGAAGATGCTTATTAGGTGATTAGAAAGAAAACATAGCATATGTGTTATTGATTCCTAGAAGAACCTAAGGAATCTACCAGGGAGGGAGACTTTCTTGGTATTTCTAATTATGTCGAGCTATGATTGCAATTCTTTTTATTATTTAAAAAAAAATTTTTTTTTTAGTTGTCAATGGACCTTTATTTTATTTATTTATATGTGGTGATGAGAATCAAACCCAGTGCCTCATACATGCTAGGCAAGCGCTTCACCACTGAGCCACAAACCCAGCCCTGAGATTGCTATTCTTGATTTTGTAACTAGCCTTCTTTAATTAATAAACACATGCATGTCTTATTTTTCAAAACTAAATCTAAGTTTATACACACACATATAGAATGTTTTTTGAAAATGTAATCACATTGGGCTAATGTAGCAGTTTCACTTTATTTTACAGAGTTTTCTAATAGATATCTTTGCCTAATTTTTTAAAAAATATTTCCTCATTTTCTATAACTTAAATTGTTTTTAATGATTATATGGCAATTCTTTGATGAAAATGTAAGAATCCATGATAGGATGTTACTATTGAGTTGTTAGGAAAAACTGACTCACAGAATTTCTGAGTTTTTTTTTTTTTTTTAAGTATAGCTCTAAATAAGAGTATATAGTAGTATATAGCAACATATTTTTACCAGATTCACTTCAGTTTTCTTCTTCCTTCAGAAATTCCTCCTTCTGTCACAATTTATTTTGTAGATAATAGGCAGTGTACCACATGAATATGTAAAAAATGTTATTAGTAACTCTGTGCATGTGTGTTTGACTGTAAACATCTTTCTATTTAGAGAAGCCTGGCATAATGATGTTTTCATTTTTTCCATTTCCATTTACTGTTTCACTGTCAACAAAATGAAAATCCACTTTTTAGGTATTTTAGTACTTTGCTATTAGGATATTAGTCTTTATTTGAAGTTTGGTAATAATTTTTTAAAATAATTTTTTAAAGTAGGAAAATTTGTGTGTGAAAGTAACTGGGTTTTTTAGTTTTTTTTTTTTTAATGTGGTGTTCAGGTTACTTTATTGTTGTTTTCAGGATGTGCCATTTGTACTGTAAGGCTACCTCCAGAAAATACTTGTTTTTATCTTGGAAGGAACCATAGGCATTATAATTTATAACCCTGTTCTCACCAAAATTATCTTTCTGCTCTCCACACCACAGCTCAATGAAGAACATAAGTTAGTGGTACTGTATTAGTGTATGATAAGCCAGGATTTTTATTAAGCGATTATTTGCCTTTTGGCTTTTAATAATAAAAAATTGGCCCAGATGGTATTATTATCATTTTGCCTAGAAGTATTTATTCTCCCTAAAGCAGATAATTTTGTGTATGAGTTGAAATTCCTTATCTATAGAAAATTTATTTGTCTGTGAGAAATTTGTCTTTTGAAGATAAGCCCAAAGTGCATTTATAAATATTAAGAATTCTGGGTTATAGTTTTAGCTCTTCAGTAGCTAAAACTCATCTGTAAAGGGTAGTAAAGCTTATAAAGATTTAGTCAGCTTTTATGGAAAGAAAGGTACACTGTACATTCAGGGAATGGAAGGTGCTCATAGACAATTCTTAAACAGATTAAAAAGTCCAGTGTAATATGATGGTTTGAGTCACCTGGCTGATCAAGTAGACTTTCTGCTACCATTTCTAAGATATATGTGTGTGTATGTGTGTGTGTGTGTGTGTGTATGGTGCTGGGAATTGAACCCAGGGCCTTATGCATGCGAGGCAGGCACTCTACCAACTGAGCTATATCCCCAACCCCTGAGCAATATTTTTTATAATGAAATTATTTGATGGAGAAAATATAATCCAAATGTTTTAATTTCTTCTATACTTCCAGACCTCCCTTTACATTATGTCTGTTACATCTATATTCCTTAAACATATTTTAGCTTTAGATTTCTAATTAAAGTGATTTGTAATTCTTCTATATATATATTTTAGGTATGTAACCACTGAAGTACATGTATATGACACAGAGTCTTCAACACCTGAAACTCCAAAAGAGAGTCCCATTGTACAGCTAGTTCAAGAGGAAGAAGAGGAGTCAGGTCCATCCACAGTGACCCTTCTGGGCAGTGGCGAACAAGAAGATGAATCATCACCCTGGTTTGAGTCAGAGACACAAATATTTTGCAGTGAACTGACTACAATTTGTTGTATTTCTAGTTTTTCGGAATATGTATATAAATGGTGTTCAGTTGGAATTGCGCTTTATCGGCAGCGCAGCAGAACTGCAGTGAGCAGAGAAAAAGATTATCTTATGTCAGCTCCACCATCCTTCCTGCTTCCTGAAGAATCAGTAGATGTTTCAGTATTGCAGCCTCCAAGTGGAGAATTGGACACCAAGAGTAGTATGGAAAGAGAAGCTGAAACTGCTGTTCTTGATGACTTAAATAGTATGCAGCAAGGTGATTTGATGAATCACACTATGGGTGTGATTGAACTTGAACCAAGCCATCCTCAAACTCTTTCTCAGTCTCTTTTCTTAGATATTACTCCAGAAATCAATTCATTATCTAAAATGGAAATGTCTGAATCTGTTAAACATGAGGCAGGGCACACACCATCACAAGTGATTCCCCAAGAGAGTTCTATTGAGGTTGATGATGAATCAGAAAAGAAGTCTGAGAGCTTTAGTAACATAGAAAAGCCATCTCTTAGCTATGAAACAAATAAAGTTAATGAGGTTATGGATAATATTGTAAAAGAAGATATGGCCTCCTTGCCAATTATTACAAAGCTATCTGAAACAGTAGTTCCACCTATAAACACAGCCATTGTGCCTGAGAGTGAAGATGGGGAAACCAAAATGAACACAGCCGACACACCAAAGCAAACTTTGACTCCTGTTGTAGATTCTTCTTCATTGCCTGAAGTAAAAGAGGAAGAACAGTCTCCAGAAGATGCCCTTTTGAAAGGGTTACAGAGGACAGCTACAGATTTCTATGCTGAATTACAAAACTCTACAGATCTAGGATATGCTAATGGAAATCTTGTACATGGATCAAACCAAAAGGAGTCAGTATTTATGAGACTTAATAATCGTATTAAAGCCTTAGAAGTTAACATGTCTCTTAGTGGTCGCTATCTGGAGGAGCTTAGCCAAAGGTAAGTTTATTGTGAATTAACCCATTTCACATGGTAAATTTAGTAGCAGAGTTTGATCTGTGGGTGCTGAACAGTGGCTTAATTTATTTTATTAAGTTTTAGAAGTACTACTCAGTGACACACACCTTTATTATTAGGCTTGTAACAAGTTTGTGTCACCTATGTTCAGTTTTTCCATTATATATATGTACTCTTTTCTTATTTCTTTCTTTTCCTTTTTTATGAGTCTTACTGTGTTGCTATGCTAATCTGAAACTCCTGAGCTAAAGTGATTCTTTAGCCTTAACCTCCTGAGTAGCTGGAACTACAGTCACACATCACTACACCTAAGTTCACTTTCTCCTTTCTTCTCCCACTGCTTAACTTCAGCCTCTTTTACTGTTTGATTTCCAGAGAGTACATGGGAAAAAATATATAGGCCTTAAACCTCTTAGTGGGACGTGACCAGGTATCGTTTAAGATGATACATACATAACACAAAAATGGACTGAACTGGATGATTAGGCAACATTTGCAATCTGTACTCTTTTATACAGGTCATAGAATCCCAGTTCTAATTGTAACAATTTATGCCCTTGTACTCCTAAGTGTCAGAGGCAGTGCCAATATACTTACACAGTGATTAAGACTCGGACACGGTTCTCCTTGTTTTCTCTTTCCCTCCCTCCCCACACCCCCCCAATATTTCTTAGTTGTTGATGGACCTTTACTTGTATGTGGTGCTGAGAATCAAACCCAGCTGAACTATAACCCAGTCCTGTTTTCTTTTTTTAATCCCTTCATTGTTCAATGTTCTCAGGGCTTCTCCTCTAACATCATGCAATCACCTAGGCACCAGGGGTCCAGAGTTCTTAAAATACCACATTTTCTTGCTCCTATTACGTTGAAATGCTACTGATGATATGTCAATAAAGTGGTCCTTGTATCCTAAAGGGGGATTCTCCCTAATTTATACATATAATTGATAGACAAATTGTGTGTTGTGTGTGTGCCTACCCACTTAGTTACTTCATGCCTGCTGTACCCCAAGGAAACCACAGTAATCATTAAATATTATATAGCAATGAGATGCATATAGACTTGATGTTTAGGGAGCCAGTCAGTACCTCAAAAACCTCTTTTTTATATCTTTGTAAGTTTTCCTGTATTGCATAAGCTTGAATAAGAGTTGTTTTACGAAAAATGGATTTATGTCATATATCAAAATTAGAAGCACCCTTCCAGTAATAAATGAAGAAGAAATTAAACTTAAACCAGTTCTTACTCTGTAGGTACCGAAAACAGATGGAAGAAATGCAGAAGGCTTTCAATAAAACAATAGTAAAACTTCAGAATACTTCAAGAATAGCAGAGGAACAGGTTGGTTTTTTTCCTTCATCCTGTACAAATACCCATTGAATTGTATAGCCTATAACAGGTGAAAAGCATAAGTAGGTTGGTTCATTTTTCCCCTTTTAAGCCTGGATGTGATGTAGCATTTGGGGAGGTATCTAGCCATTAGAATCATTCATTATCTCTTATGGAGAAAATGTTCTTAAGCATAACATTATATTTCGTGTGTCTGGTGAGCTTTTCTGCAACTGTGTTAAACCCTAAAATCTTTCATGGTTTTCTTTTCTTTCTTTTTTTTTTTTCTTTTAAATATTTTTTAGTTGTTGATGGACCTTTATTTATTTATTTATTTTCAATTTGTATGTGTACTGAGAATTTAATCCAGTGCCTCACGCATGCTATGCAAGCCCATTACCACTGAGCCACAACCCCAGTCCCCTTTCATGGTTTTCTATGTAGATAATCTTACTGACTACAGATAAGAACAGGTTAATTTCTTGTTTTAATTTTTACACCATTTTATTTTTTTCTTTCTTGGCTAGAGCTATGTAGTAATAGAGTAGGACTGATGATAGTGGTCACTCTCCTATACTGTTGATTTTAAGGGGATACAGTGTTGTACCTTCAAGTATGATGTGTGAGTATGTTATCACAATAAAGAAGTGTTGTACTTGGAAAACTTACTTCCAAGGATATTTGGTTTTTTTAAGGGGTGGTGAGGCAAGGAGAATGCAAGCTGCTGTTCAGTCAATTGCCTCTTGCCTTCTGTTTACAGCACATTGTAATTGTGATTCTTCCCTTATTGGTTTTTTGAAATTTGAGAGTTTTTTACATCTTAATACAAGTTATTTGTCAGAGATATGCTTTCAAATATCTTCTCCAAGTCCATTACTAATTTTCTTATTTTCCACAGCATGGTTTGAGGAGCAGAAGTTTTGATTTGTTGAAGCCTAATTTATCAGTTTTCATGTTATTCTATGAAATCTTTGCCCAAGGCAGAGGCACGATAGTTTTCTTTCCATTTAGAAGTTTGATAACTTTTAGTTTTACATTGTGTTTATGATTCATTTTAGTTAAATTTTATGTGGATATAGATCAAAGTTCTTTTGGGAAAAGGGATGGAATGGAATATCCATTTGTTCTAGCAGCATTTGCTGAAAAGTCTATCCTTTCTATACTGAATATTCTCTGCACTTTTGATAAAAATCAATTCACCATATATATTTGGGTCACTTTCTGGTTTTTATTCCTATTCTATTGATATGTTATCTGTCTTTATGCTTATACCACCAAGTTTTTTTCTCTTAGATTGTTTTGAAAGTCAAAACAAACTCTTTGTATCTTGACTGAAAATGTGTTGAATTTATAGATTAACTTAAGAGAATTGACTTTTTTTTAAGACATACTGGAAATTTAACCCAGGGGTACTTTACCACTAAGCTGCATCCCCAGCCCTTTTATTTTTTGAGAAAAAAAGTTTTTGAGGGCCTTACTAAGTTGCTGAGGCTTGCCTAGAACTTGTAATCTTCCTTTTCTCAGCTTCCCTCTGCATCCAGCTGGTGAATTGACATGTTAACATTTAAGTTTTCTGACCCATGAACATAGTATGTCCCTAGGAATTCATTAATTTTAATACAGTGATTTCTCCTCTGCCATTTTCTTTTTGCTTAATTTGTAACAGCTATATCTTGCATCTCACAAACTTACATAAGTACTTTTCAGTGATTTTACTGTTTAAAACCATTGGAAGTAAATCTTGCTTTGAACTATTAACTATCTTATTAAATTTAAGAGTTTGGCCTTTACATGTTTATAACTGTCTTGAACTTATCAGTGTCATATATGAGTCAGAATTCAAAATAAATGATTTAATGAATCACCTTAGCATTAAAAAAAAAAATAGGATAAAAGTTACCACAGTGGATCACAGCAAAGAATGTGAAACCTGTTATTTATACATTCCTCTCCCCCACATATACAGCTAAGACTTAAAACTAATTTGAAAAACTTAGGTCTAGAATAATGTCTGGTTATGTAGATGCATTAGGCATAAATTAGAGTTTTAGATTTCCTTGATTTCTTCCTGCCTTCTTTTCCTCCTCCCCATATTCTTAATAGCTTCAAATTTTCTATACAGTCTACCTAGCAAGATTCATAACTATGTGATACATAATTTTCTAAAATATGGTTGCAAACGTTATTTTATTAAAAACATACTTGTTAATGATGAAAGTTTCTGAAATTCAGAACTATCTAAAAAATGGAAAGATAGGTAATTTTGATGAATTTTTTCTTTCTTTTTTTTTTTTTAGAGAGAGAGGAGAGAGAATTTAAATATTTTATTTTTCAGTTTTTGGCGGACACAACATCGTTGTTTGTATGTGCTGAGGATCGAACCCGGGCCGCACGCATGCCAGGCGAGCGCGATACCGCTTGAGCCACATCCCCAGCCCCTGATGAATTTTTTTCATTGGTGTGATATAAGGGAATTTTAAAATCTCTTTGAGTTTACTTTGTATCCAGAAACATTCTTCAAAGATACTTCAGCATATCATTCTGCTACCATTTTGCTTTAAAAACACATTTGACATTGATAGTTTGTATTACATGCTGCTTTATACATATGGAGCCCACATGTGTTGAAAAGTGATTTGTTAATGTCACACAGTAGTTGACATTGCAGCAGTGAGTTGACAAAAAGTGTTTTTGAGGGAGATGGTTGAACACAGTCCCAGATTCTTGAAGTGTTCTTTGGTCAAAGTTTATAATATCTATTAAGACCTTATTAGTATGTTTTTTTAGAAGAACTTGGCATTTTTCCAGATTATAAGTTTTATTTGAATTTATAATTACTTAATTACAAACTAGGAAAAATAATACTTAATATTTTATTATAGGATCAGCGGCAAACTGAAGCCATCCAGTTGCTACAGGCACAACTGACCAACATGACACAACTTGTTTCAAACTTATCAACAACAGTAGCAGAATTAAAACGGGAGGTAATTATTATTGCTGCTCTTGTAGGACACAGTACACCATGTGGATATTATAAATACAGGCTTATAAACATGAACATGAGAACTAAAAACTTTAACCAAACAAAACTGTCATGCAGAACTTTTTCAGACATCAAAATAGAGCATTCAGAGTTTTGGGAATACATCAATTATCAAAATTTTTGTAAAACATGGCTTTTGTGATTTAGATACTATCAGTAATAGGACTATTCTCGCAGGCCTTTTATAAAAATGAGAGTAACAGATTGACAAAGTGAGCTTGTCATATCTTTGGTTCTCTGTTGTGTTGGGACTGATGCTTTGTATGCAACATTGTTGAAACACTTCTCAAACACTTTTCAACATGGTCAAAACACATACTTCAATTCAAAAAGGTTTATAAAGTTGTTCAATAAAGCAGAAACTTGGTTGATTTATCAACTATTTATTGAATGATCAATGTATGTAAACAGCATTAGCTGCACAGTGCTGTGTTGGTGCAGTACTTCCTGGCCTCACAGGGTTTACTTTCTGGTGAAGGAGTAGAATACAAATGGTAAATATGTGAACAGATGATAAATCTCTGTGACGGGGGCTGTGAAAAGAATGAAATGTAGGCGTGTAGGGTGGTGATAGTTACAGAGCATGCTGTTTTAGCTAGGCTGTTCTTGGAAGTCTTATCTAAGAAAGTGGCCTTAGAACTGAGAGCTCAAAATATTTAGCAGTCTGTACTAGTAGAACTAGGGCAAATAACCCATAATATTGTTTATTATTATAAACAGTGTGTGATGTATTTGAGGTCAGAAAGAAAGCTGGTGGCTGGAGCAGTGTGAGAAAAGTGAGGCTAAGAAATGGATTCAGGATGTTGGCAGGAACCTGCTTGTTGGTTGTGTGAGACTTGTAGGTAAGTTAGAGTTTGAAATTTATTCTTATCATTGCAATTCATTGGAAAATGGTAAGTAAAGAAATGGTATGGATTATTGTTTGACATGTGGAAGAAACTCCCCACTTGTTGCAGTATGGAGAATTGCCCATTGAGGAACAGCAAGGGCAGAACAGGAAGGAAACCAGTTAAGAGCTAGTTACAGTAATTTGAGTGAGGTAATGTTGTCTTGAAGTAGAGAAGAGTGTGTCGTTATTGAATTCAGGGTATATTTAAGATGTGGAAAAGTAATAAACCTTGCTAAAATATTGGTATGTGGGGACAAGGAACTAAGGATGATCTCCAGGTTTTGGGCTTAAATACCTGGATGACTAGTGATTCTGTTTTATATGATGGGAAAGACTGGATTAAAAAAACAAACAAACACATGTTGGTTGGTCCCCCCGCTTCCCTGAGAAAGAGGTAGTGCAAATGAAAGGATAAACCAATTGTAACAAAATGTTAATGATAGTTGAACACGGATGAAAGACATAATACTTTCATTGTACTGTTTTTAAAACTATTCCCTAAGTTTACGGTTTTTAGACAAAGAATTGGATGGGGAGAAAGCAGAAAACAAACAACCATTATTTTAATAGTTCATTTTCAGAGAACACCCTGCATTCATAGTTTGGAAGCACATTGAAAAACAAATGATTTCTTCTTTGAGTTTTACACTATATTTTTCATAATATGATTTATTATTATAATTATTATTCTTTAACCCTCTTCTCCTCTCAGGTTTCAGATCGACAAAGCTATCTTGTCATATCTTTGGTTCTCTGTGTTGTATTGGGACTGATGCTTTGTATGCAACGTTGTCGAAACACTTCTCAATTTGATGGAGATTATATGTCAAAACTTCCTAAAAGTAATCAATATCCAAGCCCTAAAAGGTAATACCAGCATTATATTTCACAATTTTCATTGTATTTTTTATATTTTTGAAAAATTTTCAGCAAATGAAGGGACCCTAAGGTAATTTCTTTCTCCATATGATTATGTAAAACCAAAATGTTGAAAACCTCATTGAGGGCATTGAGATGGTCCTGTGCCTGGATAGCTTTATAGACTTATAATGGAGGAAAACACTAATAGTAAATGCATAAAACCCTTGAAATATTTTGGTTGAGAAGGGTGCTCAGATATGGAATTCAAAGGAGGAGGAGAATAGATATTTCAATATAATAACTTTTTTAAAACTTTACTATTTTTTTAATATAATAACTTTTAGACAAGAATTTTTTAACCTAAGCAATAATTGGTGTATTAATTTAGACTTAGTCCCATGTAGTATGTGCAGTTCTCAGTAGCTTCTATTTAACCTCAAATACAAAGAAAATTATGTCTGTAGTGTACTCATTGTGCCCAATATTAATTTTTCTTAATGTGTTAGGTGTTTCTCTTCCTACGATGATATGAATTTGAAAAGAAGAACTTCATTTCCACTCATCAGATCCAAGTCTTTACAGTTAACTGGCAAAGAAGGTAGATTGTTGTGACTATGTAATATGTATATGTAAATATGAGACTAGCTGCTTCTGGCATATATAATGTCAGTGTGTTCATGACCACCTGCAACCAAAAATGAATACAAGTAACCTTTGTGTTTGTGCTGTGTCAAAACCACTTTATCACTTTCACATATCTCTTTGTTCTTTAAAAACCCAAAGGGTGGGGAGGGGGGGCCTGGTTTATTTAATTAGCAACTGGTAGTTTTGTTTGCACATGCTCCTGTTTAGAAGTATTTCTTTTTAGAAAGGGATGTTTGAGAAAGTTCAACAGATATGGAAACCAGAATGTGCTCCCATAGCATCCTGTGCTTATCTGCCTCTCTTCCTGTACAGGTAGGACCCCTTTTGTCTCTAGTTTAGGACTACGAGGCACTTTCTAAAAGAAAAGCTGATCTCTTGTCTTTATAGCCTGAGTCTATAATTGGGTTCTATCTAACATTCAGTAAATACTTATATTTAAGTGAATGGATGTATATTGAGTGGCTGTTTTCCTGTTTTATTACATAATTAGTGCTTATTAAGAAACTTAGAAACTTGTCTTCATACCAATATTAAAATAACCAATTAATTATGTATTAGAGTTAGGAGTGCTTTCTTAATCATTGGCTGTTCTGCCTTTCGTTAGGATTTTAGTAACTGAGCAGCATGTTTTAGTTGATTGGCTTGTTCAAGTACTCATTCATGAGCTTTATTAGTTTATTATTATGATAAAGCTTTCCAGGCTTAACTATTATGTGTGTATTTACTTAGGGCCAGTAAATCTCTTTTTTCTTCATGCTTGCTTCCCTCTCCTCCCCACCTTTTTTTCTTTTGGTTAATATGTCTCTTTTATTTTTTTTTTTAAGTATATAAGGTATAATCATGTGTAAAGCTTAATCTGTTTTCACAAACTCAACACACTTGTGTTGTGTAAATTATATGAGATTAAGAGGCAGAGCATTATTCAGCACCTCAAAACCTTCTTTGTGTTTTTCCTCCCTAGGTAGCTAGTATTTGACTTCTAGTATTTGCTCCACTGTGCCATTGAGTATAGTTGTTTATTCTCATTGCTGTGAGGTTTTCTATTATACAAATTGACCACACATTTTTCATTTACATTTTGAGCTCTCTTTTGGCAAACACATGTGTGCATTTCTGCTGTATATATGCATGGAAATGGAGTGGTGGGAAGCAGGGTGTGCATGTTTTCAGCTTTAGTAAATACTTCCACAGTCTTCCAGAGTGCTTTGTGAATTTTCCCTTCCGTCTGCCAGTCCCCTTGTTCCACATTCCAGTAAATGTTTAGTATTTTGTGTCTTGTAGCCATTCTGGTGGGAATTTATGCAAATTTTAGGTGTATTCATGCAGTTAGGAAATATAGTGTGCTATTTTCCTTTTTTGTAAAGTCTTAAGTGAAACTCTGGCATTTTTTTTTTTTTTTTTTTTTATTCTGTGTGTGTGTCTAATTCTTAAAGCCAAATAGAGGAGCCTTTGCTTCTGATAATAGAATTACTTCTATTTTAAGCAATGATGTTATCTTGGCTTAAAAAAAGTTGAATCCAGTAGGTAGGAGATTGACTTTATTTTTTTTTTTTAATTTTTTATTGTTAGTTGTTCAAAACATTACAAATTTCTTGACATATCATATTCCTCACTTTGATTCAAGTGGGTTATGAACTCCCACCTTCACCCCATACACAGATTGCAGAATCACATCAGTTACACATCCATTGATTTACATATTGCCATACTAGTGTCTGTTGTGCTCCACGGCCTTTCCCATTCTCCACCATCCCCCCTCCCCACCTCTCCCCTCCCCTCCCCTCCTCTCTCTCTACCCCCTCCACTGTATAACCCTGAGGGTCTCCTTCCATTTCCATGCAATTTCCCTTTTCTCTCCCTTTCCATCCCACCTCTCATCCCTGTTAAATGTTAATCTTCTCCTGCTCTTCGTCCCTACTCTGATCTTAGTTACTCTCCTTATATCAAAGAAGACATTTGGCATTTGTTTTTTAGGGATTGACTAGCTTCACTTAGCATAATCTGCTCTAATGCCCTCCATTTCCCTGTAAATTCTATGATTTTGTCATTTTTTAATGCAGAGTAATACTCCATTGTGTATAAATGCCACATTTTTTTTTATCCATTCGTCTATTGAAGGGCATCTAGGTTGGTTCCACAGTCTTGCTATTGTAAATTGTGCTGCTATGAACATCGATGTAGCAGTGTCCCTGTAGCATGCTCTTTTTAGGTCTTTAGGGAATAGACCGAGAAGGGGAATAGCTGGGTCAAATGGTGGCTCCATTCCCAGCTTTCCAAGAAATCTCCATACTGCTTTCCAAATTGGCTGCACCAATTTGCAGTCCCACCAGCAATGTACAAGTGTACCCTTTTCCCCACATCCTCGCCAGCACTTGTTGTTGTTTGACTTCATAATGGCTGCCAATCTTACTGGAGTGAGATGGTATCTTAGGGTGGTTTTGATTTGCATTTCTCTGACTGCTAGAGATGTTGAGCATTTTTTCATGTACTTGTTGATTGACTGTATGTCCTCCTCTGAGAAGTGTCTGTTCAGGTCCTTGGCCCATTTGTTGATTGGGTTGTTTGTTCTCTTATTGTCTAATTTTTTGAGTTCTTTGTATACTCTGGATATTAGGGCTCTATCTGAAGTGTGAGGAGTAAAGATTTGTTCCCAGGGTGTAGGCTCCCTATTTACCTCTCTTATTGTTTCTTTTACTGAGAAAAAACTTTTTAGTTTGAGTAAGTCCCATTTGTTGATTCTAGTTATTAACTTTTGTGCTATGGGTGTCCTATTGAGGAATTTGGAGCCCGACCCCACCGACTGTAGATCGTAGCCAACTTTTTCTTCTATCAGACGGCGCGTCTCTGATTTGATATCAAGCTCCTTGATCCATTTTGAATTCACTTTTGTGCATGGCGAGAGAAAGGGATTCAGTTTCATTTTGTTGCATATGGATTTCCAGTTTTCCCAGCACCATTTGTTGAAGATGCTATCCTTCCTCCATTGCATGCTTTTAGCCCCTTTATCAAATATAAGATAGTTGTAGTTTTGTGGATTGGTTTCTGTGTCCTCTATTCTGTACCATTGGTCCACCCGCCTGTTTTGGTACCAGTACCATGCTGTTTTTGTTACTATTGCTCTGTAGTATAGTTTGAAGTCTGGTATCGCTATACCACCTGATTCACACTTCCTGCTTAGCACTGTTTTTGCTATTCTGGGTCTTTTATTTTTCCATATGAATTTCATGATTGCTTTCTCTATTTCTACAAGAAATGCCGTTGGGATTTTGATTGGCATTGCATTAAACCTATAGAGAACTTTTGGTAATATCGCCATTTTGATGATGTTAGTTCTGCCTATCCATGAACAGGGTATATTTTTCCATCTTCTAAGATCTTCTATTTCTCTCTTTAGGGTTCTGTAGTTTTCATTGTATAAGTCTTTCACCTCTTTTGTTAGGTTGATTCCCAAGTATTTTATTTTTTTTGAAGATATTTTGAATGGAGTGGTTGTCCTCATTTCCATTTCAGAGGATTTGTCGCTGATATACAGGAATGCCTTTGATTTATGCGTGTTGATTTTATATCCTGCCACTTTGCTGAATTCATTTATTAGCTCTAATAGTTTCTTTGTAGAGCCTTTTGGGTCTGCTAGGTATAGAATCATATCATCTGCAAATAGTGATAATTTAAGTTCTTCTTTTCCTATTTTTATGCCTTTAATTTCTTTCGTCTAATTGCTCTGGCCAGTGTTTCGAGAACTATGTTCAACAGAAGTGGAGAGAGAGGGCATCCCTGTCTTGTTCCAGATTTTAGAGGGAATGCCTTCAGTTTTTAGATTGACTTTAATCCTGAATTTTCTATTAACTAGTTAATTCACATATTACTTCACCTGTTTGAATGAAACCTTTTAGTGTCCTTCTTTTGTCTTCCTCAAATTTATATTTTTGATTTTTAAAAAATATATTTTTTATAACTTTATTTTATGTATTTTTTATGTGGTGATGAGGATTGAGCCCAGTGCCTCACCTGTGCTAGGCAAGTGCTCTACCACTGAGCCATAGCCCCAGCCCCGACACTTTGATATTTAACTATTTCTTTTGTTGACCCAGCCTTAGCAACCAAAGTTATTTTTATTTCAAACCACATTTTTATTGGGAAGTATGAGAAATACATAAAAGTTTGTAAAACTAACATGTACAACGCATTGAATGATTATAAAGTGAACATTATAAAGTGTGACTATTACCCTGATCAAGAAATAGCACATAGCTAGCTAGCATCCTTGAGATTCCTTCTCCCAGAGGTAACTAGTTTCTTGACTTTTGAAATAATCATATTTTTCATTTTGTTAATAGCTTTACCATCAGCGTTTGGATTCCTCAACAATTAATTTGATCTTTGCCTGGCTTTGAGGTTTTTGTTTTTTTTTCTACCACTACTGGGGATCAAGTCCAAGGCCTCAAATTGTCTAAGAAAGCACTCTGCCACTGAGCTATGTCCCCAGCCCTAGCGCTTTTGATAAATGGAGTTATATCAAGTGTACTTTTTTTTTGGGGGGGGGGTCCCCTTCATTCTACATTGTATTTGTACAGTTCATATATGATTACATTCCATTTCCGGTGTTATTTAGTATTTCAGTAACTGATTAAATCACAGGGTATCCATTCTACTATTTTGTATGGTTTGGGCTATTATAGATAATGCTGCTATAAACCTTTCTATGTTTGCATATTAGAATGAAGTTGCTTTACAATTCTTAATACACCTTTATCTAAAGTCTGCTCTAGGCGCTGGGACTATGGCTTAGTGATAGAGCGCTTGCCTAGCATTGTGAGGCACTGGGTCAAAATAATAAGAGAGCTTGTGGGAAAAATAAAATAAAAAGAGGAGGAGAAAGGGTATCAGGCAGACACAAATGTTAACCTATATTAAGCCTGAGAATGTGTTCTGACCCAGGGGAAAAAAAAAAAAAGAATGCAGTTGCTTGAGTTTCTCTAGGAATACTACATAGATTCTAGGTGCTGGGACTGTGGTTTAGTGATAGAGCGCTTGCCTAGCATTGTGAGGCACTGGGTTAAAAAATAATAATAATAAATAATAATAATAATAATAAGAGAGCTCATGTAAAAAAAGGAGGAGGAGAAAGGGTATCAGGCAGACACATATGTTAACAACTATATTAAATAAAGCCTGAGTGTGTTTTCTGACCCAGAAAAAAAAAATGCAGTGACATGAGTTTCCCTAGGAATACTACATAGATATAAAATTGTGGGTTGTACTGTATGTTTCTTGGCAAATTATGAGATAATGGCAAATTTTTCCAAAGTGATCCTATTAGCTTATGCTTTTACCAGTACTGAGAATTTTTGTTGTTTTACATTCTTACTAACACTTGAAATTGTTAAGTTTTAAAGTGTTTGTTAACTTCATTGCAGTTGTAATTTGTATTTACCTGATCACTGAAGAAATCGAGCATCTTAAGCCTTTTGATTATTTGGTTTTCTTGGGCCTTTTAAAATTTTTACCAATTCTTTTACTGGATTGTTTGCCTTTTTCTGACTGGCTTTTATTTATTTTTAGGATTTGGATTCTCTGTGTTGGTCAGTCAGATATGTAGTAGGTATCATATTTTACTCTGAGACTTATCTTGTTCCTGCCCCACCTTGGTTTGGATTTTGAGACAGGGCCTAAATTGCTGGCCTCAAACTTGTGATACTTTTGCCTCATCCACCCAAGTAGCTGGGATTACAAGCATGTGCCACTTATTTTTTTTTTTTTTTAACTCTTGTTATATTAAATGAGACAGGGAAGCTCTTAAAGTTTTATTATAATCAAATCTGAATTTTTTTACCTTATGGTACTAACTTCTTTATCTCAAACTTTTTTTTTTAACTTCACGTTTATGGATGGTAGTCTTAAGGTTCTAAATATTTATCTTTGATTTTTAGATCTTTAATTTGCCTGAAATTGATATTTTGTGTTTGGTGTAGTGGTACCAATTTTACATGGAATTCAGTTAGCTCAGGTTTCTTGGCCATTAATTGGTCTCTGAATTTCCATGAAATTTAGAATCACCATTTAAGCCGGGCACAGTGGCACATGCCTGTCATCCTAATAGCTCCAGATGCTGAGGCAGGAGGATCATGAGTTCAAAGCCAGCCTCAGCAACTTATCGAGAACCTGTCTCTAAATAAAAAACAAAAAAGGGCTGGGGTTGTAGCTCAGTGTTTGAAGGCCCCTAAGTTCAATCCCCAGGGCGGGGCTGGGGGGTGGGGGTGGGAATCACCGATTGTTTTCATTAAAAAGATAGTATTAAGCTTTTGGTTAAGGTTACTTTGACTCTACAGATTACTTTGGAAAGGAACAGTACATCTCTGTTGGTATCTGTAGCTATATGTGCTTTGCAGGTAGGTAGAAATAAAAGATTTTGGTGCAATTGAGTTCCATTATGTCCTTACTAAATTTATGTCTGCCAGATCTATTTCTGATAAAGGTGTGGTGTAAAGTCTCTCTGTCTCTCTATAATAGTGGATTTCTTCATTTCTCTTTGCATTTCTACCATTTTTGCCTCACGTCTTTTGATACTGTCATTAAGTGCATACACACAAAGGATCTTTCTCTCTTAGAATTTTGACCCCTTTATCATTATGTAATGCTCTTCTTTATTCCTGAGAAAGAATGCATTACTTTTATCTAAAGTCTGCTCTAGGCGCTGGGACTGTAGCTTAGTGATAGAGCACTTGCCTAGCATTGTGAGGCACTGGGTTCAATCTTCAGCACCACATACAATATGTAAGTAAATTAATTAAATAAAGGTCTATTGACAACTAAAAAAATTATTTTTTAAAAAGTCTGGTCTGTCTGAAATTTATTCTTGCTGTCTTTTGATATGTATTTAAAGTGTGTGGTTTTGGTATGTAAGGCTTATAAACATTAGATGGGTAAGACTATTCTCAGAAAGAGTTTAAGATTAAAAGTATTTCTTTTTGAATCAGTAAAGTTATGTGGTTCTAGAATTTTCTCTCTTTTTTTGGAGAAAATAGAATTTTCTTTGTAAGAAGAGTTTTGGACCTTTAGCTCAGTGTATAGGAGTGAGGTTTTTCTCATCATTTTAAATTACAAATTTCAAGAATCTGTTCATTTATTCTAAACATGAGAATGCATTAATATGGAGGTGCTCCCCTTTTTGTCTGTTTCCTGTTCTTTCCGCTCCCCCTTCTTCCTTCATTATGGTATCGTGTTGAGAAAGAAGCAGACTGTTTCCCTTTTTCTGCCATTAGGTTGGAAATTGTAGTTTTTGTTCTTTATTGATTACCCTAGAAATGACAGATACCAAAGTCTATAATTAATATCTTTACCTCATTCTGAAGTACAAAGATTGTAAAACTTACTTTTCTCCAGCTTGATTTATGTTTGTTTTGTGTATTTTAATTCCATTGTTTTGGGTGCGCTTTACATTTAATATTTATTTAAATTTACATACTAAGTTCTTTGGACTTCACTCCTTTTTCCCTAAGGTCTTCCATTTATCATCATTTCCCCCTTAAACCTCTGAAATACTATTCTCCATTTTTCCCCTTTAATCGTATTTGAGACTTAGTGGGCTCTTTGTTTCTCTGAACTGTTGTCCTTTATCAGTACTGGGAAGTTCTCAGTCATTCCCCCGCCCCCAGATATTATGTCTATCCCATTCTCTTTTCTCCTCAGATTTTTAATCAAATGTATTAGCACTTCTCCCCACATCTTGTCTTGTCATGTAAACTTTCCATCTTTTTGCCTTTCTAGCTGTATTTTGTTTTTACTTGTCTTTTGTTTTCTTTTCCTGATCTGTCCTGCAGGCCACACAATCTTTAGTTGTATCTAGTCTGTTATTACATTCATTCATTGAATTTTTAATTTCTGTTACTACATTTTCATTTTTCTAGGAGTTCTTTTAGTGCTTCATTAAAAATATCTTAGTTTTTTTTCTTTTATATTTCCTGTGGATGTTTTCAGGCTTTTTTAATTTAAATATAGTAAGCATAAGCTTCTTTACCATCTGTTTGTGCCAATTCTAACATTAAATATTTGAGAATCTGTTCATTAAATTGTCTTTGTAGGCTCTTGATCACATGTGTTCATGAATTTGGTTGTCTTTGGTGTGCTACTCCAATTTGAAAAATGATTTGTCAGGCTAATTTAAGAGGTAACGTGTTTGTATTTGCTTTATATTCATGGCTTGAAGTTTGTTGGGCTACCAGGTATTGAGAACTTCCCATCCAAACTGCAAATTCATTCTTTAACTGAAGATATGGTCCTTTTTATTCCCACCTTACTACTCAGTAGGAGAGAGTACCCCACGACTACTACTTCCATTTGGCCCAGGGATCTGATTTCTGTTCCATTTGTTTGTGATACCATCAGAACCAAAGTTCATGTATTTGTGTATTGGCAAATGCCCTCAGGACAAAAATGACTTGTATTCCACTTGGCTATCTGGGCCCTTAGTTTTCCTTTACTTTTGGCCCAGAGGTAGTATTTACTGTCTTGGCAGCTATTCATTGCTTTTAGTGGTTTTGTTTGTTTGTTTTGCCCATCATATTTACTTGCATTCAGTGGAGAGTTTGATCTTAGGAATATAATGACCATTATTAGACATCAATCAGTAGAAGATTTACAGTGAATTTGTTTCTTATAAATTAGTTGTCTCTGTCAGGTCCTAAATTGGTTTAACTGATTGAATAGGACTTACCTTATATGTATGCTTATCACTATAGAGGTGGATTAGGAGTAACTTGAATGTGCTTTGAATAATGAAATTTTAGAAACTTCAATCTAAAAGTTAGATCTAATTTATTTACTATAAACTTAGAAGTGTTTATCCATTGCTTGGAGATATACACACACACACACTCACATATTCATATATATATATATATGATGCATGTTCAAGCTGTTAGATTTTGGAGTTAATAGTTTTAATCATAGTGATAATTAGAACAATATTTCTTGAATCTCTTTTTGTATATAGGTTCCTCTAACTAGCTTCTATACATGATCACAATGCTTGTTGCACATTTTTAACCCACCTTTGTGACATAGTATAGTTTAGTCTTTTCAGGAAAATTTAAAACATTCTGTTGGTTTGGTATTAGCTTACCACTTATGTTATATTTTTTATCAGGTAAGAGGGGCTGGCCCCAGAGAAGTATCCTTTCTTTGCTGATTGATAGCCAGTTATTAATTAAAAACTTAATTTGAAGGCTGTTACCTTCAAATAACTTTGACCACATCCATAATAAGAATGATACCTTCTCTTACCTTGCTTCTTTTGACTTTTTAAATGCATAAATATATAGTTAGCCTGGTTTAAATATAAATCCACTGGTTCTTTTTAATAAAGTAATCACTAAGGAATGATATATTTTTTAGGGTTTAATCATAGCATGACCCACTTTTTAATTTCATAACTGCTTTTCTTTTCTTACTTGTAGTGGACCCAAATGATTTGTACATTGTAGAGCCCCTCAAGTTCTCTCCAGAAAAAAAGGTAATATTGTTTCTTTTGAAGTTTATTGATGATTTTTGTGATAGTAAATGAAGAAATAGATTGAAAGGTTTAACATAGCCTTTAGGTGGTCCCTAACTTACTGTTTATTTTCATTTATGGTAATAGTGTAAATAAATGTTTACAGAGGTCAGCAAACTATCTATGGTTTGAATGTGCTTCAGGCCATTGTGGCCTGAAGTGGGGAGCCAAGAAGCATTTTCTTATTTTTAAAGGACTATAAAATAAAAAAAGAATATGCAAGAGTGATGGTATGAGTCTTGCAAAGCTTAAAATTTTACAGGAAAAGTTGGCTACTCCCTGTGTGGTCATTGTTTCCTGAGCATTGGAGGCTTGTCAGGCACATTGTGTCACTGTGCCTTCATCCTCACATCAGCTTAAAGTTGACGATGGTAATACCACTGGGTTGAACCTGGGTTGAACTCAGGGCCTTGAGCATGCTGAGTAAGCACTACCATGGAGCTATGTGCCCAGACCAATATCCCCATCTTCTGAGAAAACAAAACTGAAGAGGTTTTGATTTCTCAATGACCCTTTAGATAGGTGGCAAAACTCAGAATGCATTTAGAATTTTTTGATTAGAAAATCTATTCATTTTGATTGGCAGTATTGGCTCTGGGTGAAAGAACTTGGGTTTTAGAATCAAATAGCTTAAGATTCAATTCCAGCTTAGGCATCACTGTGTAACTTGGGCAGGAGCCAAATCTCTGAACCTGGGTTTTCTCATTTAGGAACCAAGAATAAACAAGTAAGTAAGATATATGTGAAATATCTGGCACATAGTAGATATTCAGATGTTAGTTGTCACTCCCTAAATCTGTATTCACCAGTGGCAGATAAGCAATTAAAATTTTTTGATTGAGTAGTATTTATAAAATGGGAAGGTAATGATAGTATCTATACACAACGTGTGTGTGTGTGCATAAAAAATACTGTTTTACTTTTCACCAGGTGGTGGCACTTTCCTCCATTAGCTTGCTCTTCTAGTGTTTAATAAGGTAACTGTTGGCGGTCTAATTCCTATCCTTTCATTTGTGTTATAGAAGAAACGCTGCAAGTATAAAACTGAAAAAATTGAGACCATAAAACCTGCAGATCCATTGCACCCTATAGCCAATGGAGACATAAAAGGAAGAAGGCCTTTTACGAACCAGAGAGATTTTTCTAATATGGGAGAAGTTTATCACTCTTCTTATAAGGGCCCTCCCTCTGAGGGAAGCTCAGAAACTTCATCACAGTCAGAAGAGTCCTATTTTTGTGGCATTTCAGCTTGTACAAGTCTGTGCAATGGACAGTCCCAAAAGACAAAAACTGAGAAGAGGGCTTTAAAACGAAGGCGGTCTAAAGTCCAAGACCAAGGGAAATTGATAAAGACTCTCATACAGACTAAGTCAGGATCATTGCCCAGCCTACACGACATAATCAAAGGAAACAAGGAGCTCGCCGTGGGAACATTTGGGGTTACAGCAGTTTCGGGACATATCTAAATTAATCAAACTTTTCATACTGAAGACTTTTTTTGTTGTTGTTCTTTGAAGAACAGTCTGTGGTATTTGAAGGGTTGGGGGGGAGGAAACATTGGGAAAAGTATTCAGAAATTATGGTTTCTGCCTTTTTAAAAAATAGATGGGATTGTGTCAGTCTTCGTTAATGAGCTACAGTTTTACAAGGCTGATCACTTCCTACAAGGACAATGGTAAACATTTTATAAAGATGTTTTTTCACAGATTAATTACTGGGACAAATTAATTTGGAAGCCCAGTTCCTTGGGTGGGATAGGAATGAAAGCCTAAACCTCTTCCTCTAGCTTTGTTCCTATTTCTTGCACCTTCCCCCATATTTATGTGCCTTTTGTCTATTTATAATGCCACTGGAAGAGGAGGGAGAACTTTTTCTGTCATTTGATTTCTTTTATAACTTTTTAGGTTTTTGAAGCTGCAAACACTACAAGGTTTTGGGGTGGTCTGTGCCTGAAGCTCAGCAGTGTGGGTCAGACAGTGTGAAGAGCCTAAAGACTTGCCAGCTAGGTCTGTTGTGCAAACTCACTGGAAATAAACACTTGCTGGAACTTTAAGTCTGTTCTTTTAGGTAAATAGTGATGCTCTTGACGTTATTTTCATTTATCTTATTTGGACTGGATTACTTTTTCCATGGTTACTAAACTCAATGAGGGGGAAAAAAAGCAACAAGTTCTTTTCATGCAAACGACTAGTATTTGCAAATGTTTTTATAAATTTGACTTTAAACACAACTACTTGTGAAGATTTCATTAGATATTACAATAACACTAATCCTCCAAACTTTCACATCACTGTTTTCCATTTGTACAAATATATGAGAAACTGCAGATTTGGCAGCTGAATTCAAGTGCATTAAGGCATGGTCACTGTCTGTGCACACACCTACGCACACACACAGAGCTGCCAGTGGGTTTGTCCCACAAATCTGGCTGGTCAAGTCTAGGGGATTGTGATTCCTTGATATTTGCTTTGTATTGGCCACAAGGTGCAGAGATATGTTTGTGTTACGTCAATATGTTTGTCTTCATTTGTGTTTTTTTCTTTTAAAAAATAATTGGCAGTGACTGTATTTGAATAAAGTGATTTCATAGTGTGTGCCTGTATAACAAGTGAAAGTGGAACACGTTTCTTTTTGAAAGGGAGAGAATTGACCTTTTGTATTGTGAGATTTAAGTTATAACTTATTGAGCACTTTTAGTAATAACTGTTTTTAAACTTGTTTGATACCTTTCTTGGGGTATTGTTTATAATGTGACTTATTTAAAGCCTTTTTTGTTTCTTTAAGTTGCTGCTTTAGGTTAACAGTATGTTTTAGGAGATTAAATTGTTTTTGTCCAGTCTGCACAATTAGCCATTCAGAGCAAGAGGGCCAGATTGTAAAGAAGCCCTTGAAAAAAGGTCCAGATGAGAGCAGAGGCAGAGTGGAAAGTCACACCATCTGTTGTGGAAAGAGGACTTTCAGTTTGTAACTACGGAGCTGTAGTGCCATTAGAAACTGTGAATTTCCAAATAAATCTGAACACTTGTCTTTATTAATTTTACTGGCTCTTCCATCCTTTGAAAGAAAATGCTCAAATGTATTACTAAGCTCTGAACATAGATTTAAGGTTTTGACACTTTTGAAGCTAATTATAATAGCATCCTTTAACTGTTGCTCATGTGGCAGCCCCTGCAGATTATTCTTCACATAAGCATCTGTTCCCATACAGCCCCAGTCTTACTTTTCAAACCCTAAAATGATAGCTTTGAATCTACAGTAGGATGTATGTGTGTGCTTTTATTAGGTGCAAACTACTAATTTTTAACTTTTCTATATCTAAATAGAGTAGAAAATTTTGTAATTTGGGGTTTATTTTTTCATCTCAGAATATAACTACATGAAGGGGGAAAAAGTAACTTGAGTGAAAACTTTTTTATTTGTTCTAATTAGTTATACATTGGAAAATTCTTACCATTAGTAGATTTGTATCTGGCAAGAAGCAAAACTATTCAGGTTGAGTATCACTAAACCAAAATCCAAAACTTTGGAGCCCTATACCATTTTTGGAGCTTTTGGTTTTGGGATTTTCAGGTTAGGGATGTCCACTCAGTAAGCATTTAAATATTCCCAGAATCAAAAAATCTCTAAAATCTGAATCATTTCTGGCCCTGAGCTTTTTGTAAGGAGTACTCAACCTGGTTATCTGTGTGTGTGTGTGTGTGTGTGTGTGTGTGTGTTTAATGGGTTTTCAGTGTCCCCCAGTGGCCAACCTCATTTTATTTCTAGTTCAATGTTAGGTAAAGCATTAAAACTACATTAAATTTCCCAAACTGAAGGATTAGAAAGGACAAGGATACAAAGTAAAAGTTCTTTTAATGGAGGGTTTTAGAGGTTCTACGTGCAGACCATTCAAAGAATTAGTTCTACAAGGTGTGTTCTGAGAAACAGCACTTCTTCACTCTGCTGCTGCCCATTGCTCATGCCCCCCCACCAAGCATTCCTGCTCCCTAGCAGCAGCCTCTTTGGATTCTGCATCTCTAATTCTTGTGCTACCTTTTTAATGCTGCTTATCAATTTTCCAGTTTTAGATGTGGGCCTAATTTGAATACATAGGCACAAACTTTAAATAGATACAAACTTGTATTTGCTAACCTAACTGAATAAATCTGCTTAAAATCACTGTATATTAAAGTAATATGGCTTTTTAAACTACATTTTGTAAGGATTGTTATTAAAAACTTCACATACTTTTCTCCAGTTTCATACCTTAAGAAATTTCAGATCCATAGAATGTTTGAACACTCATGTACCTTAACCCAGACTCACCAGTTAACATTTTTGTTTTCCATGGATATTTTTATATATGTATGTCTAAATGTGTGCATATGTCTGTATATTACATAAATATGTATTGTGTATATAGTGTACATTTAGGGGTGAACCAGTTGAAAGAACATCATGACTTAGTACCCTAAATACTTCAGTGTGTATTTTCTTATAGGAAAAGGACTTTCATCTACATGACCATAATACCAGTATCACACCTAAGAAAATTAATAATTATATAATAACTGATATGCAGTCCATAGTCAAATTTCCCCAGTTGCCAGCCCTTATACACTTTTTTTTTTTTTTGGTCCAGGGTTCAGTCAAAAAGTAGACTGCTTCTTGATTGTCTTATTTTCCTTGTGTAAGGGCCATACTTGTTTCATCTGAACCATTTCAGTTTCGCTCAGCTTTTCTGAATGAGGTATGATGACATCACCGTAGATTTTATCCCAACCCACATCCCGTTGAGGCATATATTCATAGCCTACATCATACACCACTTGAAACATTACTTTCAAAATTAGTCTAGAATATTTGTTTGCAACAAGTTGATATCACTTCTGGTTTGAAATCACATACTCTGGACTACCAAATCTTCGTTTTTCATTTTTGACAAGTAGATTAAATAGTAAAATCCAAACAAAAGTTTTAGCCCAAGAGTGGTTCAAAGAAGTCATTTACCTAGGATGTGGTTGTTGACACCATTTAAGAGCATGTACTTAGAAGTCAGACTGCCTACTTTTGAGTTTTGCTCTCTACCTCTTGCTGGATGTGGCATTGGACAAATTGAAATCCCATTGAGCTTCTCTAAAAATAATTCACTTTGGATCATAAAGCAACCAATTATCTCACCTATCTCCTTGTTGCAACAGAACCCCTCTCTTCTCTAACCCTCATTCTTGGGGTCACTCATTCCAATACTGTTTCTGTCATTCTTGATTTCAATGTCTATTTTACATGATTTTTTACTGTAAGTGGCCACTTATCTGATGTCCAAATTTGGTCATGACCAATATCCACGGTCCTTCCTTCATACCTCCTACTATCTCCTAGCTCGTGCTTTCTTACACTGTAGCTCCAACAATGCCATCCTCCCACCAAGGCCTCCAATCCATTGGTCATACCACTTATGCACTGTTCCTCATTCCCTTGAAGACCTTACCCCTCTTCTTATCTAGCTTGAATTCTGTGCTCAGCCCTTACAATTGCTCCCTTTCATACACCTTCAACTTTCTTCCCATCTCTTGTTTTGATGAGCCTCAGCAAAGCAAAACCCTGGTTAAATACAGTTTAGATGTTACCCCAGACCCTCAAACAAGCTCCCACCTCCTAGCCTTTGTCTCTGTGATCTGCTTTTGCTTCTGTTCCTTAAAGCTAATAACTCTACTTAAGGGCTGGATTTCATTCTTAATTTAGGGAGAACTTTCATTTTTTCTGTCTCTCGCATTATCATTTCCCCTTTCAAATAGAGCTCTCCCAAAAGTATACTAATATGCCATTGCTGCCTCCCATCATACACCTTCTGACCCCATTCTCTCTAGCTGCCTGTTTAAGTGTTCCACTTCAGGGCACCCTGTCCATCTCCAGTTTCTCACCAAGCTTTCTTGAACTTGTTCCAATTAGGCAATTGATCTCTCCTATATTGAAATTGTCCTTGTGAAGGGCATTGGTGATCTCATGTTGTCAAAACCAGAAAATAGTTCTCTCTTCTCCTCTTGGCCCATAAGCAGCATTGAACTCAGCTGATTGTTCCCCTGGTGCAATGTAGTTGACCTCTGAGCAACATGAACTGGGGCACTAAACTGCCCACCACTAGCTTTGGACTCCCCCCAAAACTTAACTACTGATAGCCTACTATTGATCAAAAGCCTTACTGATAACATATTAACACATTTATATGTAATATATATATAGTGAAATATATGTGAGAACTGTTAGAGGTCACTTTTTTATTGGTGCATAATAATTACACAGAATAATGAATTTCATTGTAGCATATTCACACATGCACATAACAAAATTTGATCAGTTTCATTCCTGTATCTCCCTACTTCCCTGCTCACAGGAGATGATTTAAGCATCTCAGTGTTTTAATACAACCAGAGGTGGCTACAAAATTATTACAGTAGCACAATATGTTCTACAGTTCATTTTATGCCATTATGAATGACTTAATGCAGCATCTTTACATCTGTCTATGTTTCTCTCAGCTTATTAGTAGCACTACAGTTTGTGCTTGTACATGTGTGCGTTTTGATAATTTTAACTTTTTATAATACATATTTCTATATTTTATGGCAATAAGTGATTTAAGATAGACTACTCTCTGTAATCATGTTATGCATTTCTGACATCCTAAGTTCCCCCCCCCCCCGTATTTCCAGACTATGCAATTCATCTGGGAGTTTTTTCAAATTGGGGCAAATCTCAAAAAATAAATCCTCAATCATGTAAGAGGGCATAATGTGGATGTGCCCAAACTCAATTGTAGGAAGTCTGCTTTCTGTGGCTCACTTCTATGATGATTGCTCCATTTTTATAGCTCAGTTTCAGGGTTTTCTCTTTTATTCAATTGATATTTTTTTCTGAGCCAATGCTCACTCTTAATGTCTACATTTAATTATCTCCCTTAAAAATGGTGTTACCGAAGTTTTATTTTACTCAAGTTCTGTGCCAGAGGCCTGACTCTGGAGATCCCAACAGACTAGATTTGGCCACTTGCCCTATAAGAAAGCAGGATGGAAAAATTGATGGTAGGAAAGGAATTTATTCTCACTGCAGCCACATTGGTGTTAATAACCAATACTAACAGACCAAACACATTTGTGTCTTTCCACAATGTCAGAATGTATTGAATAGCAATGACTTCACAAGCTACACCATGATCGTTGGTCACTATTCACCAAGCTATACCATGATCGTTGGTCACTATTCACCAAGTATTCATGGGTCATCTGATAGACGCAAACTGGAAAATCTCAAGTTCTTTTCTTCCATTGCAATCTTAAATTCTATTAACACTCAAGTCACACATGCTTTACACAATGGTATAGCTGGGTTAAGGTGGCCTCAGGTTTACAAGATGCTGTGCCAAGAACAAGAGGTGGTTAGATAAGAGTTTAAACCAGCCAGCTCTGCAGAGTTGCCATGGCGAAGGTTCAGACATAGCAGTTTCAGAGTATGAGCTTAGGTGTCAGTTTGGAGCAGGCTATGCATGTCGTCATGGACAGAAGGAGCAACACTGAGCCGAAGCCAGGAGACAGGTAACTGGGGGTTTTTCGATGTGGTGATTTTCCTGGGCAAGGGTCATGAGGAGTGACCAGATGATGGGGTCACAGTGCTACCATGTCCATCTTGCAGGGGTAGTCCTTGTTTTTATGGGTCGTAAATGAGGGGTTTATGTTGGGGAGATTTATAAGTTCCTGTGTCTGGTGTTTCTGATGTGGGACTGCCATGTGTCCAGGTGCTCCTGATTTAGTTTGATAAGTTAGCCCAAAAAAGTTATTTATCAATTTGTGCCTTATGGTTGTACTTGGAAAGATGATGACTGTTTACTTGAATTAACAAAGTATAGAGTCATTGTACCATGGCATTTGTTCTAAAAATGGAGTCACTTTTGGCAAACTACTGCTTTACAAAATACAGTAACTTAGGCACTGGCATAGCCTGAAACTCTCTTCTCAGATTAGGGCACAGCCTTCTGTCCACAACTGGGAAGACAGAGCTA